AGGCCTATCAGAGCTCTCTGTCTGTCTGTCTGTCTGTCTGTCTGTCTGTCTGTCTGTCTTTCTGTCTCTCTTTGTCTCTCTCTGTCTCTCTTCCTCTCTCTCACCCAGGTGCCCTGGGATTTTGTTCAGCTGAAACTCAGAGGGAAACCTGAGATGCTAAATGGCCTACCCTAGAAATGATCAAATTGACAAAATGTCACCATGATGTAGGGGTGGATAAGATGAGGAAGGGAGAACCAAAGCCGTGAACTAGAGAATCGCAGAGGTCACAAAACCAACCCAAACCTTAGCAGGAATTCCTTTCACAACATAGATAGATAAAGACTTCATTAAACATTTATCATGTCTCAGGCACCATTCGAAATGCTGAGGATACAAATACAAGATAATAAGGACTATTATTTCCTTTATTCTTTTTAATGTAGCCAATTAGCTATGTGACCCTAGGCAAGTCACTTCACCCTGTTTGCCTCAGTTTCCTCATCTGTAAAATGAGCTGGAGAAGGAAATGGCAAACCACTTCAATATCTTTGCCAAGAAAACTCCAAATGGGGTCATAAAGAGTCAGATACAACTGAAATGACTGAACAACAAGATCCAATTACACACACACACACCACACACTATTTTAGATCTATTTTTTTTGCATGTCATACTGTTAACTCATATTGAGCGAAATTTCAGTCTGCTAAAATCCTGAGATTCACAGCCTTTAAGTTTATTTAGTTTCACTTCCTCGATGTACAGATGAGGAAACTGAGGCCTGGAGAGGGGAAGCTCCTCACCAAGGGTCATACAGCTAGTAAATGGCAGAACTGGGAGCTGAGCCTAGGCCTTCTGTCCCATGCTTTGGTATCTGGGCATGTTGGGACGCAGGGAGGACAGCTATCAGGATTAGTAGAGGGAGTAGGGGTGACCAGGCTGGGGCAGCAAAGGAAAGAGAGAGGAGGGAATTCTTGTCATGATGGAAGGCTCTAGGTTCTGAAGTAAGGGCATAAGGCAAAAGGATGCTCAGAAAGTTTCCTCAGATCGTATTGTTCCAGGGCACGAACTTTCAGATAGTACAACTAGCCCAGCCCCAGTTTTAGGGGAGCATCTGCACTGGAGACACTTAGGAGAAGAATTTGGTCTCCAGATCTCTGTTTACCTGATTGCTAAATACTCAAAATGCCTTTCAGGCAGAAGAAGCATTTTGTCCCATAGTTAGAGAGAAAAGACTGAAAATGCAAGTGTGAAGGAGAGGTAACCATGGAAACCAATTCCGCCATGGCTGAGTTCAAATAATAACCTCAGCTCCTTTTCTCTTTTCCTAGAGGGAGAGGATTGGGAACCAGAAAGGCCCTAAAGGGGGTGGGGGTGGAGGGTGTTGTCTGGAAGAGGACAACAACTTCATAATTCTGCCTGGGGGCCATCCTTCCACTTCCCTCCTGCTATGTAAGTACAAAGAAATACTGTCTTCCACAGGCACCATTTAGCAGTATCTTAGGAGCATCTTGACTCTCATACTAGCTCTGGGTTCATAGGAAAATGTGGGGGTTTTTTTGTTGGCCTCAGTTTTCTCATCTGTAAAATGGGAATATCAACACCTACCTCATGGGGTTTCTTGTGGAACTTAAATGAGATCATGTATATAAAACTTTGTATATGTCAGTTATTATTCCTAAAAATGATCAATTGTTATTGAGTTATTATTAATAATTAACAGCCAAGTTATTAATAATCACCAACATGCATACAACGTTTTCAAGTTTGCAAAGTGCTTCATTTTCCTGACATTATTTGAGCCTCATAATAACCCTCTGAGGGAGATACAAGAGCTTTTAGCACTGGTTAACTGCATCCTAAGTCTGACACTGGTTGTGTGACCATGTGCAATCTTTTTTTTAGGGGCCTCAGTTTTCTCATCCATAAAATGGGGATACTGACACTTTACATACTTACCTCAAAGGGCTGTTTGAAGCTCAAATGAGATAATGCATGTAAAGTACCATACAAATGCCAGCTATTATTAATAGTTAATAACCAAGATATTAATAACAAGATATTGCATAATCACTTATACAATATTTTAAGGTTTGTTGTTGTTTAGTCATGTTTGACTCTTTGTGACCCCCTTTGGGGTTTTCTTGGCAGAGATACTGGAGTGGTTTGCCATTTCCTTCTCCAGCTCATTTTACAGATGAGGAAACTCAGGCAAACAGGGTAAAGTGACTTGCCCAGGGTCACACAGCCAGTGAGCATCTGAGGTCACATTTGAACTCAGGTCTTCTGGATTCCAGACCCAGCCCTCTTGGCCACCTAGCTGCATTTTAAGGTTTTCAAAGTACTTCGCTTACCTTATCTCATTTGAACCTCATAATAATGCTGAGGGGTGGGTGCCTCAGGCATTATCATACTCAGTTCAAAGATGTTTAAAGAATATAGAGAAGATTTGCACAAAGTCACATAGCTAGTAAATATCAGATGTGGGATTTGACCTCAGGTCTTCCAGACTCCAAATCCAATGCTCACTCCTTAGTAACCTTGCCACAAACAATTTTGAGAGAGGGAGTGTGCCCTACTTGGCAAGCAGGAGCCTGTTGGCATGACCTCCCTAGGAATGGCCCATAATGCTCCAGGGGAATTTTTCCTTTATGTGAAAAGGAAGCAGCTAAAGAAGAGATCACTACAGCAAACCTAGGCCTTCCTGCTTCATCCTTCTGCCTGCCCACCATGCCCAAATCTTTAAGAGAGGCTGAGTCACCCACCCATTGTCACAAACTGAGTTAATAGCAGGGCTGGGATGAGAATCCAGGTCTTCTGGCTTCCACCTCAACTCTCTCTCCACACTGGTCTCTGATATTAGCAGCCAAGGGGTCCCAGTTTCCACCTCACTGTCAATCAGATTTTTCAGGTTCCTCTTATTCCAAACAAAACAAAACAAAACACTAAAACATTGGGAACCTTAGGAAAATGGCCAGTGACTTTTGAATCCAGACTATCTTCCCCAGACTCTGTGCAGGGTTGTTGTATATTAAAGGGGGAAAGGAACCAGGGAAAGAAAACGTCTAGTTCCAAGGCCTTGCTCCCCTCCAGGCTCGTGCTGCAGCTGTCTTACCTGCTCCTATGATCACGGCGTCATATTCCGGCTTCAGATGGCCCCCAGCCGCAGCGGGTGCTGGTCTCCGGTGCAGGGTGGTAGAGACAGCAAAGGCCCTTCCTAACCTCTGGCTTGTGGCATTCATTTTCCCCTCGGGTTTAAACTCCAACTGGTTTCCAGCGGCAGTCACTGGGAAGGACCGGGACTTTGCTTTTTCGGATTGCCTTGGCTGTAGGCAGAAGGGAGCAGAGAAAAGCAGGAAGGAAGGTGGAGCTCTGAGCTCAGCTCTTCCAGGCCTTGGTCTCCAGATCTGGCTTTGGGCCATCGCTGAAAAGGGAATTTGCTTTTTCTGCGTTCCTCTCTACTTCTCCAGTGCCCCTTTGTGGGGCCTCCACGAAGTGGAAGCTGAGTTGAGATTACTCTTTAACTTGGCAGAATATGGGTTCATTATCCTTACGGAGGAGAAACTCTGGTCTGATTAGGTGTAAGATTTTCATAAAGAATAAAAGCAAGGTAATAATAATAGCCCACAATTACATAGCGCTTTAAGGTTTGAGAAGACCTTTGCATGTATTATCTTATATGAGCCTCACAACAGCTCCGGGAGGAGGTGCTATTATTATACCCATTTTACAGAGGAGGAAACTGAGGCAAACAGAGTAAAGTGATTTACCCAGGCTCTCTCATCTGGTAAGCACAGGAGGCAGACATGATTTCAAGGCCAACACAACACCCATAATTCACTTCAGGTAGTTTGCCCTGCAGAGAATAAAGAGAATTTAGGAGCTTATACCTGAAGAAGAAAAACCATCAGCTCTCAAAATGAAACGTTAAGGGGTAGCTGCTACTCTCCTTTTGCTGTCATTCACGTCCAAGTCTTTGTGATCCCTTTTGGGGATTGTCTTGGCAAAGATACTGTAGGGGTTTACCATTTCCTTCTCCGGCTCATTTGACAGATGAGAAAACTGAGGCAAACAGGCTGAAGTGACTTGCCCAGGGTCACACAGCTAGTAAGTGTGTGAGGCCATATTTGAACTCAGTACTTCTGACTCTAGGGCTGGCACTCTATCCACTGAACCACCTAACTGCCCCATTTGTAAGAACTTGCTTATTCCTGCCAACAGCATTGGGGGCAGCTGACTAGCAGTCACCCACCATTCTTTCCTTTACCATTATGTTTTGGGGCTCTACACTTGCCAATAATGACTGGTCACTTACCGGCTCAGCCTCCACTGACCTATTCCTTCCAGGTCCAAAGTGTCTTTCAGCCTCACAAATCTCAAAGTTATGGTTAAACAGTTTGATTAGTAAAAGCATGGGAAACTCTAGAAACATTAGCCATTTGTATCATAAAATGTGACATTCCAAGCCTCAAGGCAAACCCTGTGTTTCAAGGAAGTTCACTTACTCAATAAGTCTCCTGTCTCCACGTACTGAAAGAGAGATTAGTGATCATCACTGCAGTGACTTATGACCACCTGCTGCAGCCTGAAGCCCCCCTTTTGCCCTTGTGGGCAGGGTCGTGTGTGCTGCTTTCTTCTCCATCACTCCATGCCTCCCACTTGTGATTTGTTTCGAGCCACCCTCCTCCACCGCCAATACCAAGGTCCAACTCATGCTTGCATATCTCTGCAGGTGAGTGCAGTAGCGAGCTGCCCAGACCTGGGCTGTAAGTTTAAGAGGGGAGAGAGGCTTCCCATTGTCATGATGTATTTGCCCTCCTGTTTCCCTCCAGAGACCGGCAAACAGGCATACCTCACATATAGCCCCTAGGAAGTCTCTCAAGTATTTTTTTGCTCCCAATATCTTCTAGGAGATGTAGTCCAGTGAGAAGGTGACTAGATAGAGGTCTACCCCAAAGAACCATACTTTACAGAAATATTCCAGACTATCTGTTTCTCTTTTCCTTTTGTTCTTATAGGATTAGACTAAAATGGACCATGAGTGACATGCTTTATATTTCTCCTGAAATAGGCAACACAGCCCACCTAAGAAGGCCCCACAAAAGGTAATTTTCTTTTATCACCACCTGGGTTTTAGGCAAAATGGCAAAGTAGTTGCAATATGCCTTTGGGAAGCCTGCTTCCTCCCTATCTGCTCCCCTCCCCTTCCTCTTTGCAGTTCTTGTCTTGTGGTATCCAGATGTTGTGCGTCCTCATGCCTTCTGCCTCTCTGACACTGTAGCAACCTGCCCAAAGCACCCCACACTCTAAAATCAGCTCCCCTAGATTCCCCACCCTGGCAACAACCACTGCTTCCCTTGCCCTTTCCTCTCCAGTTCAGTGGATCTCAGGAAGAAAGCAATCTAATTATTGCATCAAAGTGATTGGCAGTAAGGTGTGAATACCCACAGGCTTAGAATTCCCAGAGGAGATTGCTTTTTCAAAATGGTACCACACTCCAAGAGACCCTTGAGCCCATCAATTTCAACTCTTATTCAACAACCAGAGAGCCATCTAGTCTTTGCCTACATAGTGGAGTATTTGGGAGGGCTCACCATCTCACACCTGCATTCTATAATAGCATTTACTTCCCAGGGTTATTGTGAAGAGCAGATGAGGTAATATGTCAAGCAACTTTGCAAACCTTAAAGTGCTGTGCACAACATCAGCATTTCTACCGTTCCATCATTTTATGAATCGAAATTCTCATGTGGAGCCAAAAGCTACCACCTGTGTGACCCAGTTTTCCCTGCTCAAACAAGTCAGTGCCCTTTTCCATATCATAACCCTCCATATATTTGAGGACAACTATCGTGTCTTCCCTTGGCATTCTCTTATCTAAGAAAAACCAGCCTGGTTCCTGCAAGTCACTGAAGACTCCCTGATCTTCTATTACCTTATATGTAAAATGAAAGGTGTGGAATAAAGGTGTCCGAAGGCCCCTTCAGCTCCAAATCCTATCATTCCTTATGAGGGCGGCTAGGTGGCACAGAGATAGAGTGCTGGGCCTGGAGTCAGTAAGACCCATCTTTGTAAGTTCCAATCTGGCTTCATATGCTTTCTAGCTGTGTGACCCTGGGTAAGTCATTTAACTGTGTTTGTCTCAGTTTCCTCATTGTAAAATGAGCTACAGAAGGAAATGGCAATCCACTCCATTATCTTTGCCAAGAAAATCCCAGATAGAATCACAAAGAATCAGACAGGATTAAACAACAAAATTATTCCTTATTTGGAGGGAATCTTTCGACGAGTTCCCTATGTCAAAACTATTTTCATAATAATACTAAGATGTTATTTGCCCAGTAAAATACTCCTCTGAATTCCAACTATACATCTGCATGAGCCTGGATTTTCTTCATCCACTTCAACCAAAATAACATGTTGTAACAGATTGAATATAGAAGCAGATATGAGAACCCCGATGTCTTCAATTAACCCAGACATTAAAGAGATTTACAAAAATATGCAAAACAATGCAACCTTCACACTAATTTTTGTTTTGTTTTGGAAATATAGTTACTTATCATAAAATATTTGTTAGCATTGAGTTTATTATTGCCACTATAAATGAAATAATGGTTTTAAATTGTATCAGTTGTAATTTCTAATACAGAAAATATCACTAGATATAATTAATTTACATAAACAAAAGTTCTTTGGGGGTCCTCAGCAATTTTTAAGATTATAAAGGGAAACCAAAAAGTTTGAGAACCTGTGGTATAGTAGACAGATAGCTGGCCTCAAAGCCAGGAAGATCACGATTTAATCCCTTTCTCTGACATATTAGTTGTATGTCCCTGGGTAAGTCACTTAAACTCTCAGTGCCACAGGCAACCGGGGGGGGGGCTAGGCAATGGGGTTAAATGACTTGCCCAGGGTCACTGTGTCCAAGGCTGGATTTGAACTCAGGTCCTCCTGACTTCAGGGCCAGTGCTGTATCCACTGAGCCACCTAGCTGCCCCACACAAGCAACTTTCTAATACTACAAATTGTGGCAGTGTAGAACCTGTATTAGTAGAGGGAGTTTCCTCACCTGGGAGGTCCCTATATCAATGAAATCACAATTCTAAGTCTCTAACTCTCTGATCCTCTGACTATTTCACAGAGCATCTAGACCCCTCACTACCCCAGAGGCTGTCCTCTGGATGCATCCTAGGCTATCACTATCCCTCTAACAATGTGGTGAATACAACAACCCAGATATGGCCTGAAGAAAGGACAGGAAGATTATTACTTCCAATGATCTGGACAATATTCTTCTACTTATATAGCCTAAGAAAGTGTTGATTAAAAAAAACCAACCCAACCTATCAGGGGCACACCACTGCTGCCTCACTCTAATCTAAATGATCATCTAAGCATCCTCCTCTTTTCCCACATCTCCTACAGCTCAGAGTGTGCCAGGTGGTGCAGTGTACAGTACACAGTGTGTTTGGACTTGGAGTCTGGAAGACCGGAGTTTGAACCCTGCCTCAGACACTAGCATTTAACCTCTGCATGCCTGTTTACACATCTGCAAAATAGGGATAACACCACCACCTACCTCCTCCAGCTGCTGTGAAACCAACTAAGGTAACTTGTAAAGTGCTTTGCAAACCTTAAATCCCTATACTAATGGTAGATATTATTACAGTGGCTGTTGTCAAGTTCCATTTCTGTCATCTTTTATTTTGTAATTATTTTCATAAGCTATATGCATGACTTATGCTTTTTTAAAAAAAATCTTTTTTTCAGTTGTGTGTAAAAACAATTTTTAATATTCATTCAAAAATTTTTGAGTTTCAAATTTTCTCCCTCCTTTCCCCTCCTCCCCCCCCTGCTTTTTCAGTACTTTAGGATCTGTGATTTGGTCAGGGTGAGCTCTCCCTTTTCTCATACACCTTGTAATCACTCTATGGCTCAGGACGCAGATAAAAGACCCTACCCCCCAAATAAATAAAATCAGCCCCCTGTAATCAGTGGTGATGAGCCTCTGGACTCAGCCAAGTAGTCCCTGGACAGAGTCCTGTGCTGGAAGCCTCTCCAGCTCGATGGGACCTAGCAGGGCTTGCTGACTCACCATTCAAACCTGAGCGATCTTCTCCTTGTTAAGTTCAATCTTGCTGGTTCCAGGCCAATGTTGTTGTCAAGAGAAGCAGTGCTGGGTAGAGGACTGTCTCAAGGTCCAGAAGACCTGGGTTCAAATTCTGTCTCTGGGGGAAGCTAAGTGGTGCAGTGGATAGAACTCCAGCCTTGGAGTCAGGAGGACCTGAGTTCAAATGCGGCCTCAGACACTTGACACTAGCTGTGTAATCCTGGGCAAGTCACTTAACCCCATTACCTCACCAAAAAGCAAAACAGAAACAAAAAAATTGTAAAAACCAATGAATGCAAAAGTCCAAATAAACAGACGAGAATAAAAATGATTGTAATGAGATTGTAAAAAACAAAAACCAATCCCGCCTCTGATCCATACTGGCTGTATGACCCTGGGCAAGTAATTTAATTTCTCAGTGCCCCAGGTAACTTTCTTTCTTTTTTAAAATTTTATTTTCTGTTACAAATTCTTTCTCTCCCCATCCTCTTTTCCCACCCTTTGAGAAAGCCAGAGAAATAGAAACCAACCCAATAAACATTTATTAAGTGCCTACTATGTGCCAGGCACTGAGCTAAGTGCTGGGGATACAATTAATAAAAAGAAATCCCTGCCCTCAAGGAGTTTATAATCTAAAGGGGGAGACAGCACACAAAAGAAGGCAGGAAAGGGGAAGGGGGATACCAGGGGTTAACTGGCCTGCGGTCATCTTGTTCTGTAGAGCTGAAACCAGGCAGGGCAGCAGAGGCAAAGTGTAGTGAGCTGAGAGTCCACTTTCTGCCCTCTATAAAGGAAGGTATTGGGAGGCCTTCCACTTAGAGGGGAGAGGCTTGAGTTAGCTGCAAGGTGGTTGGTTTAGAACAGATGAGCTTAACCTAGGAGGTTCCCTCTTGTTTAGTGGGGTTGAAACCAGGCAGAGCAGCAGATGCAAAATGGAGTGAATTATAGTGACTTAGTCATAGAGCCCTTTTTTGGGTCATGGCCCCTTGGGCAGTCTGATGAAGCCTATGAACCCTTCGGGATAATATTTTATTGCCTCTACTCATAACTGAGGGAAATGTTAAGTTTCAGTTAGATGTTGGTGAAAATAAGGATGTATTTCTTTTCCATCAAGCCCATGGGAGACCCTTCTGAAGCCTAACTACTGGACCCCAAGTTAAGAGCTGCTCTCATACAATCTCTCTATTCTCAGCTAATTCAAGTCAGGTCAACTTTATTAAATATCTGTGCTCAGTGCCAGAAGCCAGGAATACAAAGATGAAAAAACAGCAATTCCTGCATTCAAAGAGCAATGGAGGGGTATGATATGACTGCAGCCCACACATAGCCTTGGCCCTTTTAACCTTTGTGAGCTATGAAGTATATTTTTAATTTGAATTTTATTAATTTATTTTTAGTTTTCAACATTCACTTTTATAACATTTTGAGTTCTAAATCTTTCCCCCTCTGCTCCTTGTTCTCTAAGACGGCATACAATCTGATATAGGCTATACATGTACAATCATATTAAACATGTTTCCATGTTAGTCATACTGTGAAAGAAGAATCAGAACAAAAGGGAAAAACCATGAGAAAGAAAAAAAACCCCAGTATGCTTCGATCTGCATTCAGACTCCATAGCTCCTTCTCTGGATCTGGATAGCGTTTTCCATCATAAGGCTTTTGGAGTTGTCTTAGATTCTTGCATCACTGAGAAAAGCCAAGTCTATGAAAGTTAGCGCACAACATGGCTGTCCCTGTGTCCAATGTTCTCCTGGTTCTGCTCACTTCACTCAGCATCAGTTCATGCAAGCCATACCAGGTTTTTATGAAGTGTGTTTTCCCCAGGTTGTTTGCTTCGTGCTTTGTCATACTCTCCCTTGTGAGACACTCACACTTGCAGAAACTGCTCCTTTTTTTGGTGCTTCTGTCCCTCACTTGGTCCAGATAGGACCCTTAACAAAGGCAGACGTGCCTGATGAACACTGTCTTTAAGTTTGAGGCTATAATTGTGCAATCTGATTGATTTATAATTTTGTACCCTGACTGGCTTGTTTGTAATGTAACCCGAACAGCACACCCTTTAGAAACACCATTAGGGAACTATTAGAATTCTCCATAGTGTTTCAGGATTGCAACTTTGGCTGATAAACATGCTTAGGGTAACATCCCTTTTGTGTTACCTTCACAACTTGGCATTCAAGAGATTCATGGGTTGGATCCCCAGGAGGTGACTACTTTCAGATTCAAAAGTGTTCTGTGGGCCTGTACCCTTAAAACTATAGCTCCTGTGTCCCCCACCAAGCACACATATAAGGGTAAATAGATAGTAGACACAAGTAGCTCAAAGCAAAGGCATAAGATTACATCACAGAGGGGCAGCTAGGTGGCCCAGTGGATAGAACTGGCCCTAGAGGCGGGAGGACCTGAGTTCAAACCTGGCCTCAGACACTTACTAGTTGTATAACCCTGGGGTAGTCACTTAACCCCAATTGCACTGCCCCCCCCAAAAAAAAGATTGCATTGTAAGAACAGGAGCTACAACATATTCTCCCCATAAACCTTTCCTGATCTCTCCCACAAGGACACATGGCAGACAAGGTATAGGGGTGGACACAAACAGAGTATGTTGATAATGAGGCATACACATGGGGGATATGCATGGAAACTTGTGCCCCTGGTACTTCAGGGCACCAGGGTCCTTTCTCTTCTTGATGTCCTCACACTGTGGCTCTCCTCTTCCCCGAAATGGTGTTTCTGTTTTGAGTTGCTCTCCTGGGCTCTCCATAGCTGGAGTTTTACCCTCCAGGACTATTCCGCAGTTGGCTTTCTTCTCTGTCCCCTGTGATGTGCTCTTAAAGAATGAGTGGCTCTCCTGCAGGACTCTGACAGGTGCATGGCCAGTCTTTGGCCAGCCAATAGAAAACTGGCCCTCTAATCCCACTGTGGAGAACTTTCACATTTTACTTCATGAAGGCACCAGGATGCCGACCCGTCTTCAGGATTTTGTTTTGCCACCTCCTTACTTCTGTTACCTGCCCATCATCTCCTGGGATTGCATCAGCTAGCTGTTGTTGGGGGTGGCATCACTTCTATACCCCTCCGCCCTTCCCCATCACACTAGAAACGTTTGTCCAGCTCACTGTGTTACCTTACCTTGGACAGCAGTTCCCAAGGTGGATTAAGGACAGAGGATCTTCAGCAGAGGTGGTGGACTTCAGACCGAGCTTAACACCGAACACCTTAACTACCAGCCATCCAGCTGAATGTTAAGCCAAGTAGTGGGAGAGAGCTGGTTCCTGGCAGACGCAGGCCCTGTGACTCGGTGTACCCCAGGGCATTCATCTGTTTGGTGGCCAGAAGTGACTAGGCAGAGTATCTATGCTCCTAATGAGCAGTCTTACCAATAAAGTTAATCAACCAAATGATGTGTTACCTCCTTTCTTGGCTCAAACCTTAACCCTTACAGCTCTATTCAAGGACGTGGCTGACACAGTGGACCTTGTGGGCTAAGTCAGATTAGCATATGTAAACAAGGTACAAAGCAGACTGGGACAGGGATGGGAGATCTAGATAAAGTCCTCCAAGATAATTTAATGAGACCTCTGTTTCAGCTGGGATGGAGATGGAGAAACTCAAAAAGTGAGGAAGTCTGCATGGAAAAGTTGGCACCTGATCTGGGCCTTGGAAGAAGAGAGGGCATGCCAGGAGTGGGGGATGGGCTTCTCCAGGTAAACCCTGCCCAGGCCCACCCTGTTCTTATCTCAGTTTGCTTAATCCTCTCTCTGCCTCTCCTTCCTTAAAGAGCCAAATTTCTTACTCCCAGCCTGTCATGAATGAATTGGAAGTGCCTCGGATGAGAGTGGGTAACAACTTATTTGGCTGGAATGTGGAAGGGTCAGATTGGGGGGATTGGGGCGCGTCACTTCATCCTCCAGGCACTTGGAAGCCACTGACTGTTACCTTTTAATTTTGATCTTAAGAATCATCAACAAGGGGCAGTGAGGTGGAGAAGTGGATAGAACACTGGCCCTGGAGTCAGGAGACCCAAATCTGGTCTCAGACACTTGACACTTACTAGTTATGTGACCCTAGGCAAGTCACTTAATCCCAATTGCCCTGCCAAAAAGAAAAAAAAAATCAACAACCATTTTAATAGATTACAAAGAACATGAGATTTTATAAAAAACTCTGAACTTCCATTACATACAGTTTGTCTTTAAAAAGTAACACCAAATTTAACAAGATAATAACAAAACAGCTCCATTTCTTTCTCTTGTTTTGGTCTGTCCATTTTTAAAAGGCAACAATTAATACAACAATGTGAAGAAAAACAACTTTGAAAAGACCATTGAGGGTCTTTAAGCAAGTGGGTGAAAATGGTCAGAAGGAAGATGAGTTGATTAGCAGAGAATGGAAGCTGGGAGACCAGTTAGAACAGGAAAATGCTGATGGGGATTTGAACTTGGGGGTGGCATCGTGAGTTGAGAAGAGGAGGACTCTAAGAGATATCATGGAAGTAAAACTGACAGGATTCTGCAGCTGTTTGGATTGGATTGCAGGGACTTGCACAGAGAGATTCTCCAGCCGATTCTTCTTGGATGCCCTAATATTGCCAAGAGCCACTGGAGGAAAATTAGTTTTTTTTCCTTCTTCTTCTGTAATTGAACTGTCAGCTTCCAGTGTGTTTCCTTTACAAGTTAGACTGGGGTCTTTGAGATAACTCCTGCATGGTTGAATAAGTAATGACACAGGCCTTATTGCTGCCAGACCCATCAGGAGTAGGGAGCAATAGGAACGCTGCATCCCTGGAACACTAGTGCTTAGCTATCTGCCTAGGGCACACAGTGGGAAGCTCATCTGTGGTATTACCATTCTTATTTAAATGACCTAGACCAGGGGTAGGTAACCTCCCACCTCAAGGCCACATGTGGTCCTCTAGGTCCTCAAGTGCAGCCCTCTGACTGAATCCAAACTTTAGAAGAAGGGCCCCAGGTTCCCGACCCCTGAATTCTAGACTGATTTATTGTGCCACTGCCCAACAGACAGCTTCTTGGAAATCCTTAAGGAATGTAGGCCATTTGTAGTCTGCAGACTACACCTGTAGTCAATGACTACAGAGTCACTGGTGGTCTTGTTTGTGCCCAGAAATAAAACAGGCAGGGTGGGGTGGGAAGGTTTACAATGCATAAAGCAGAAATAAGGTGGTTTACAGAACTTAGTATTTTATTTCTGTCAATCAATGTCTTTTCAATTCAACACCTGTCTCCTTGGCTGCAAAAGACCCAGATTTTGGTTTCTTGTTTCCTTCCCACACACTGACAAGGCTGGGAGTGAATAAATTTTTGGAACTGTCCATTGTGCAATACATATATAGACCTACACTAAGCCCCTTCCCCACTTTACTGTATGATAGGCCAATAAGGCAGCTTGGATTTGAGGAAGCAGAGAAAGGAAACTCAAATGCTTGAGCAAGCTCTTCCTTTCTGTCCTGTGAGGCAGGATAAGAAGGAATCCAGTGAAGAAAAATAGGAAAGGTAAGTGCTTTAAGCAATGCAGGAAGCTAAGGTCACGAAACCCTGGATATTAAGTGCTGGTAACCTTCCCCCCTCAGGGGGAAGACATGGACAGGCAGCCCCTAGAATTAGTGGCTCTGAATTTCAATGTCAAAATCCCTGGAACTTCTAAGGACACAATATGGAAGGCCTCTGTTTAAAGTGCATCATTCTCTTGCAGCAGGAATGATTCCAGGGAGGCCCAGACCCTGCCTCTGACTCCCAACCTGCTTTCTGAAACATAAAGTGGCATCTATATCATTGATGTTAAGATCTGTAGCGCCGCAGGTCTGATTTGTGGCTTGCAAGACATCTCTGTGTGCCATGCATCCCATGGATCGGCCAGGGTAGCTCTTTTCAGGAATATGTATCCTGCTGCCTTAGGGCTAGCACTGAGCAGGAGAGCATTTTTCTCCAAATGATGGATGGGCAGGAATGGATCAGCTATGATCTGTATCACAGAGGATTTGAGAAACTGAGGTGGGGCATATCCACCCCGATGGTAGTGTCTGGAGACCTTGGGCAGGTCTTGAAGAGGGGAGACATAGAATAAACCAAACAAATGTCTTGTGAAACCTGAGAGCCACAGAACAGTCCAGTCTTCTAGAGCAAGGGTATACGGGATGACTCCCACAGCCGCCGGGCCAGCTCGCCTGCCTGCTGGACCACTATGTCCACAGCGAGGACAGAGAGATGGATGGTCATCAATTCATAGCATTTCACTATTTCTCCCGTATGGCTTTTGCTATAGTAGCGCAGAAGCTTCCTAGGAGACAGGAGTAAAAGAAAATACAGGATTCAGAAGACAAGCAGTTGTCTTCCCCTTGGCCAAGGGCTGGATCCCACAGGTGCTGGCTGGTCTTGGAGGTCCAGATCCAGCCCAGTTCTCCTGAAGGGTAATGCTGACTTCTCACTTGAAGGACAAGGTTTCCAGCACCTCAGTCAGTGAGGACTTCTTCCTCAGGTTTCCTGAGCTCTCTGCCTCCTAATTAAAATTGTACTTGCATCTCCCTTAGCTCCTTGACAACGATTCCCTCCTTCAGAGAGGTTCCTATCCTGTGGATTCCGGTGCTAATCCCACATGAAACAGAACCTGCCGAGCCCAGACGTGTCTTATGTTATAAGAAGAACTTGGCGGAATCAGTGGTGCCTACTAGGGTGATGGCACAGGGTCAGAGAGAGAAGCTCCCTTTGTGGCCACACCAGTAGGTGCCCTCTTAACTGGCTTCTTCGATAACAGAGCATCGAGATGCTACTGTACTGGGCAGAGCGAGGTCAGACAGCTGGCAAGTCCTCACAACAGGGTTTCCGGCTCTCTGGGCCAGGTACTTCCCTAATGGGAGAAAAGCTATTCTTCCTCCAACCCCAGGAGTATGTGTATATGTATATACATATGTAGGTGTACATGTATGTATATACATATCTATATATGTGTGTGTCTACATGCTCCTATGTGGGTATGCATGTATGTACACATACATGTATGTACACACACACACACACACACACACAGATATAATTGTCCCTCTCTGCATCTGGCTCTTGCACCTCAATCTGGAAGGGTGTTACCTGTAATAGTCTCCCCCAAGCACGCCGATAGGAGCCGAGTCATCAGAGAGGACAGGTACCTCTATCGCCTGTAGTTTGTGCCCCTAAAGAAGACCAGAAGAGCTGTGAGAAGAGATTGGAAGGAGATGCGGGCAGAAACTTCATGAGTAAGTGGTGCAATGAGAAGCCAGGGCCTGTGCAACACAGAGGTGCCAAAGAGCAGAGCCCTTTGAGAAAGGGCCATTTCCGTACTGTAAAAAAGCGACACCAACCATTTCCAAACCATACTGCCCCATGAGCACCCTCTGTTTTCCACCTTCCAACTCTAGCCCCTCTAAATGTATTGTCTTCTCCTATAAGAATATGAGTTTCTTTAGGGAAAAGACTATCTTGCTGTATTTGCATCCCCAGCACTTAGCAGTAAGTTGCTGTAACTCTCCCATGTTCACCTCCAAATAACCATAAAATGTCACCCTAAAAGAAATCCTGGAACAGTAGAAAGACAGGGTGAAACAATCTTTTAGCCCAGGAAACTTGCAAGATCATCAAGAAAGGTCTGTCTCACTCAGGTAAAAGGGGAATGCAGTCCAGAATAGGAAGTGTCCCAGCAAGCCAGCAGCAAGCCCTACCTCAGCAAACCAGTGGGAGATCCTGAGCCCTAGTGTAATGGAGCAGCCGAATGCCAACACCAGGACCTCTAACATGCCTCAGCATAGCCAGGGGAATGGACAGACTCCAATTCAGAGAACTGCTATGTGCTTCAGCATTGCCCCAGGCAAACAGGTAACTTCCCATGGCTAGACTACCACATACAGGCATACAGGTGCCTAAGCAAATGGGCTGCTGCTAGTGCAGAGCCCCTACCACGTACTTCAACATAGCCCCAGGAAGCACAGAAACACCCCACTGGCATGAGTACATGCCAGACACCAGCACTAGGACCCTGGCTCAGAACCAGGTAAGCTACCAGACCCCTACAGCCTCCAGCAGCACTAGCCACTCCCCACCCCCTCAGCACAGTGCCAGACACAAGGGTCTCCAACGGGTGTCAGGGCAACATCAGCGGAGAACCAGGTAAACAGCCAAGGTCTGCAGCCCCTGGCACAAAAAGCCTGAACCAGTGTCTCTTCCATCCCGGCAGCAGAGATCAAATTTAAAAGAAAAGAAAAGATGAGCAAAAAACAACAACAAAAAAAGATTCTGACCATAGAAAGTTATTATGACGACAAGGAAAATCAAGACAAACTCAGAAAAGGACAACAATGTCAAAACATCCATGGACAAAACCCCAAAGAAAAATGGGAAGTGGTGTCAAGCCCAGAAAGAACTCACAGAAGAGCTCAAAAAAAAAAAAAGCTTAAAAATCATATAAGAGAGGTGGAAAAAAAAATGAGAGTGATGCAAGAGAATTATGAAAAAAGAGTCAACATCTCCGAAAAAGAAAACAACTGCTTAAAAAGTAGAACTGGCTAAATGGAAAAGGAGATACAAAAATCCACTGGAGAAAACAACTCCTTAAAAAGTACAATTGGCCAAATGGAAAAGAAAGTAAAAAGCTAACTGAGGAAAACAACCCCTTCAAAGCTAGAATTGGGCAAGTAGAAGCTAATGACTCCATAAGATATCAAGAATCAATCAAACAAATTCGTAAGAATGAAAAAAACACAAGAAAATGTAAAATGCTTCACTGGAAAAACAAGTGTCCTGGAAAATAGATCTAGAAGAGGCAATGTTAGAATCACTGGACTACCTGAAAGCCATAATCAAAAAGAGGACCTGGACAGCATCTTTTCAGAAATTATCAAGGAAAACTGCCCTGATATCCTGGAACCAGAGGACCAAATAGGCACTGAAAGAATACACTGATCACCTCAGGAAAGAGATACCAAAATAAAAACTCCAAGGAACATTATAGCCAAATTTCAGGACTATCAAATCAAGGAAAAAATACTTCAAGTGGCCAGAAAGAAACAATTCAAATATCAGGGAACCACAATTAGAATCACACAGGACACAGCTGCTACATTAAAGGATTGTAGGTCATGGAACATGATATTCGGAAAGGCAAAGGAGCTAGGGCAACAACCAAGAATCATCTACCCAGCAAAATTAAGCATGCTACTTCAAGGGAAAAATGGTCATTCAATGAAATAGGAGGATTTCAAGCTTTCACAGGGAGAAGACTAGAACCGAACAAAAACCTTGACCTTCAATATCAAGACCCAAGAGAAGCCTAAAAAGGTAGGTTTGTGTGTATGTGTGTATGTGTGTATGTGTGTGTGTGTGTGTGTGTGTGGCCATTGGGGTTCAGTGACCTGCCTAGAGTCACACAGCTGGTGAATGTTATGTGTCTGAGGCCAGATTTGAACTCAGGTTTTCCTAGCTCCAGGGCTAGTGCTCCACCCACTGCGCCACCTAGCTGCCCCAGCTCAAAAAGGTAAAAAGTAAAAAGAAAACATAAGGGATTCTATGAAGTCAAACTGCTTACATCCCTATGTGGGAAGATGACACTTGTAATTCTTAAAAATTGTATCACTAATCATACCACTAGAAGGAGTATACCTAGAAAGAAGGTACAGGTATAAGGTGAATTTGAGGGAATGACGTAAAAAATAATTAAGGGATGAGAAGGGGGACACTAGGTACAGAAGGAAGGGAGAGGTGGAATGGGGTAAATTTTTTCACATTAAGAAGCACAAAAAACCTATTACAATGGAGGGAAAGATGGTAGGATGGGTGATGGGCATCGCTTGAATCTTACTCTCATTAGCACTGACCCAAAGAAGGAATAATATACACAATCAGTTGAATACAGAAATCAATCTTAAACTGGCAGGAAAGCAGGAGGGGAGGAGATTAAGTAAAGGTAGGGTAACTAACAGAAAAGAGGGCAGACCAGGGGAGGTGGTAGACAGAAGCAAAACAGTGTTGAGAAGGGAAAGGGTGGAAGGAGAGAAAGGACAAATAGGAGGAAAAATAGGATGGACAGAAATACACAGTAATCATAACTGTGAATGTGAATTGGATGTACTCTCCCATAAAATGGAAGTGGATAGCACAGGGGGTCAAAAACCAGAATCCTACACTATGTTGTTTACAAGAAACACATTTGAAGCAGACAGACATACACAGTGCAAAGGTAAGGGGCCAGAGCAGAATATATTATGCTTCAGCTAAAGCAAAAAAAGCAGGGGCAGCAATCTTGATCTCAGACAAAGCAAAAGCAAAAACAGACCTAATTAAAAGAGATAAGGAAGAAAACTATATCTTGCTAAAAGGTACCACAGACAATGAAGTAATATCAATACTAAACATATATGCACCAAGTGGCATAGCATACAGATTCTTTTTCTCCTCAATTTTTAAGCATTTTTATTTAAAGTTTTGTGTTCCGAATTCTACCCTTCCCTCCCTCCCTCTCCACTCCCCTCCCTGAGATGGTAAGCAATCAGATATAGGTTATACATGTGCAATTATGTAAAACAGTTCCATATTAATAATTCTGTATAAGAAGACTTGAACAAATGAAAAAAAGAGAAAGTGAAAAATGGCACGCTTCAGTCTGTATTCAATCAACATCAGTTCCTTCTCTGGAGGTGGACAGAATGCTTTATCATGAGTCCTTTGGGATTGTCTTGGATCACTGTATCGCTGAGAATAGCTAAGTCATTCACAGTTCTTCATTGAACAATATTGCTCAGTGTCCCCCTGGTTCTGTTCACTTCACTCTACATCAGTTCATGTAAGTCTTTCCAGATTTTTCTGAAATCATCCTGCTTGTCCTTTCTTATAGCACAATAGTATTCCATTATAATCACATATCACCGCTTGGTTAGCCATTCATCAATTGATGGGCAACCTTTTGATTTCTATTTCTTAGGTACTACAAAAAGAGCTGCAATAAATAATTTGTACAAATAGGTCCTTTCCCCTTTTTTTGGATGTCTTTGGGATATAGACCTAGCAGTGGTATTGCTGGATCAAAGGTCATGTGGTTTTATAGCCCTTTGGGGAGAGTTCCAAATTGCTTTCCAGAATGGTTAAATCAGTTCACAACTCCACCAACAGTGCATTCGTGTCCCAATGTTCCCACATCCCCTCCAACATCCAAAATTTTCCTTTCTTGTCATATTAGCCACTCTGATAAGTGTGAGGTGGTTACCTCAGAGTTGTTTTAATTTTCTCTGATTAATACTGATTTAGAGCATTTTTTCATGTGACTATAGATAGCTTTGATTCCTTTGTCTGAAAATATTTATATCCTTCGACCGTTTATTAGTTGGGGAATGAGATGATTTTTATGAATTTGACTCAGTTCTCTATATATTTGAGAAATGAGGCCTTTAACAGAGATACTAGTAAAATTTCCCCCCAGTTTTCTTCTTTCCTTATAATATTGACTGCATTGGTTTTGTCTGTGTAAAAAACTTTTAATTTTACATAACCAAAATCATCTATTTTACATTTTGTAATGCTCTCTATATCTTCTTTGGTCTTAAATTCTTCCCCTTATCCATAAATCTGACAGAATCCAAGTTCTTAAAGGAGAAGTTAAGTGAGTTACAGGTTCATGACCAAAAAACAAAAAGCATTAGAAAATGTAAAATAGATAATTTTGATTGTATTAAATTAAAAAGCTTTTGCACAAGCAAAACCAATGTAAGCAGGATTAGATGGAAAGCAGAAAGCGGGGAAACAATCTTTACAACAAGTGTCTCTGATAAAGGCCTTATTTCTCAAATACATAGAGAACTGAGTCAAATTTATAATAGAAGCCATTCTCCAACTTATAAATGGTCAAAGGATATGAACAGGTAATTTTCTGGTGAAGAAATCAAAGCTATCTAGAGGCATATGAAGAAGTGCTCAAATCACTTTTGATCACAGAAATGCACATTAAAAGAACTCTGAGGTACCACCTTACACCTATCAGATGAGTTAATATGACAAAAAAAAAGAAAATGATAAAAGTTGGAAAGGATGTGGGAAAATTGGGACACTAATGCATTGCTGATGGAGTTGTGAACTGATTCAACTATTCTGGAGAGCAGTTTGGAATGATGGCCCACAGGCAACCAAACTGCATATCCTTTGATCCAGCAATACTACTACTAGATCTGTATTCCAAAGAAACCATGAAAAATGGAAAGGGACCTACATGTGCAAAAATATGTATATCAGCCCTTTTCGTGGTGGCAAAATATTGGAAACTGAGAGGCTACCCATCAATCGGGGAATGGCTGAACAAGCTGTGGTATATGAATATAATGGAATACTACTGTGCAACAAAAACTGATGAACAGGCAGATTTCAGAAAGACTTGGAAAGACTTGTATGAACTGACGCAAAGAGAAATGAACAGAACTATTGGCAACATTATATGATGCTCAACAATGAATGACACAGCTCTTCTCAGCAACACATTGATCTAAGACAGGTACAAAGGACTCATGGAAGAAAATGCTGCTACCCACATCCAGATAAGAATTAATGGACTCTAAATGCAGACTGAAGCATACTTTTTTCACTTATTTTATTCTTTTTTTCCCCCTTTTGATCTGTTTCTTTTTTCACAACTATTACAAATATGGAAATATGTTTTATATGATAGCACATGTATAACCTGTATCAAATTGTCTACCATTTTAGGAAGAGGGTAGGAAAGGGAGGGAGAAAAATTTGGAACTCAAAATCTTGTAAAAATGAATGCTAAAAATTGTCTTGACTTGTAACTGGGAAAAAAATACTTTTTTTAAAAAGCATTTTCCTTCCTTCCTAACAATTTCCGTTTCTCCCTAATAAGTAAAGGTGTACACCAAGGCAAAATTCTAGAATTTAGAATAGTCCTTCAACTCCTTAATTTTCATTTTCTTCCTGTTGTTGAGTAGTTCCAGGTAGTTTGGACTGTAATACCTTGGTGTGTGAATTGAATTTTTCTTCTTTTACTTTATTTGATGCATTTCCTGATGTTTTGAGCTGATGAAGGAAAGCAAGGCTTAGAATCAACTTCTCACTCAGTCACTCTGCCAGAACTTTACAATCCCTTGTCTGATTATTTTTTTTATCAACTATTACCTTGGATACTGATTGGTCCAGAGCTCTCCTGTGAGAGGAGAGAAGGAAGCAGTCAGGAAAGATGCTTATTGTGGTTGGAGGCAAGTGAGGGAAAAGTCAGTAATTTCTAGCAGAGAAAGGAAAGGCAGAGGTGAATAAAAGGCTTGGATAATGGAAACAACAGGTTCAAGTGTATGCTGGAGACTGAAGTGCTGGCTCTTTGGGGGCTGGAAAAAAAGAAATAAACAAACAAAAAAAACAACACATAAAGAGAGGGAGAATTAAAGAAAAAAGCCAGAAAAAAGAGGAATTAGAGAAAGGAAGTGATAGAAAAACAAAGCAGGAAAAAACATGGAGGTTAAGATACCATGACCTATTTTTGTACTGCTGAAGGCAGTGTGGCCCTGTGAAAAGAGCACTGGGTCAGGAGGAGTTGGAAGAGTTAAGTCATAGCCTCAAGTTTCCCCTAACTAGCAATGTAACTCGGTACAACTTAACCTCTCAATGCCTCGCATTCCCCACTTGCAGATGGGCACGTCGATGTACCACCTTTCATCTACGAAGATGATGTTACCTGACATCAGTAGTTTATGCTCTTGATGCTGCTTTTCAGTACTGGAGAGGCCTCATCCACACAAGGCAGAGCACAGCTTCCTTTCTTGGCTCCTTTCCCTATCCCTCAACTTAGGGCGTGTTTTAGAAGAGAGCTGGGTTGAAGCAAGGGTACAGACTACAGCCATAAAATACAGCAAAGGGGATGTAATCTGCAGCTTTGACCTAAGAGCCCTGTGCTCTAATTCAACTGAGCTACCTGGTCTGATGTTTCCACAGGGCCATTGTGAAATTACAATGAAACCCAAAATGGACAGTGCTTTGGGAACAACAACATCCACAGAACTCCCTAAACATGTCATCTTTCTGCTCCTGGGGGCGTGGCTATACCCACCATCTCATTCTCGAACCACAGGAAGTAGGAGCAGTAGTAGTCGCCGTCTCGGAACGTCAGGGTTGTGTAGCCCTTTTGAAGGTATCGCCTGGCCAGACCAACTAAAGCCCAGACCTGTAGGGAAGGAGAAGTGAGAAAATGGACCAAGCTAAAGGCTTTATCTTCCCCTTGAGAGCTGGCCAGCTTCCTTTAGCTGAGGCTTTCAATTTTCTTTTCTTTCCCTTCAATTGTTCTATCTTGCTTGTCACTATTCAAAAAAAGTCTCACAAAAAGGCATAGTTTTGATGAGTTATCTGGTTTTTAGCAAACCTCAACAAATGAATAATTTATACCATCAGTGACATTACATATTTTATGACTACAAAGGATCAACTGTGATCACTCAGAGTTGCCTTCTGGCCACTGGGAACTCCTGATCATATTCCAGGAAGTTAGATACCAAGAAGTTATGGGCCTCTGAAACTGGTGAGGCTGGTTAGAGCTGGGACGGGGCCGATGACACATTTTGACTTATAACTGCTCTGAGACTCAATCCTGGCCAACTTCATGGAATGAGTGATCTCACATCATCACCATCACCATCACCATCACCATCACCATCACTATCACCACCATCACCATTCACCATCACCATCACCACCACCACCACCATCACCATCACCATCATCACCACCACCATCACCACCACCACCACCATCACCATCACCACCACCACCCCCCCCCCAACATTTATGTAGTGCTTAAAGGTTTACAAAGTGCCTGACATATATTATCTCATATGAGCCTGACAATTAGTAGCTACTATCTAAAGATGAGGAAACTAAGGCTGAAAGAAGTGGATTTGCCCAGGATCACACAGTTAAAGTGGTGGAAGAGAAAGGAAGGAGTGAAGATCTGAACTCAGGTGTTCCTGACTCCAGGCCTAGGGCTCTGTCCATCACACCACCTGGCTGCCTCTGCTTAGCTGTGACAGTGACCATCAGAGATGCAAGTGGCCTCCAGTGGGGAGAGTAGTGGCCAGCTTCAGTACCTCTGAGAGGAGATGCATGAGAATAGGATGGATGTTTGCTGATATTACAATAAAAATGTAATTACATGCATGACAGAGTAATATGTCATTGTGAACGAGCTTCTTGTGAATCAGGATGCTGAACAAAAACTCAGAAATAAACCCAATGGAATACACCTCCTGGAATTCAATTCAGCAAACATCTGTAAATATCATGTGAAAATCTATGCCAAAATCCATATATCTTTAATTCTTTCTCTTCCCTCTAGAGGCCTTAGGAAAGGGCCTTTCGACCATTCATTAAAATCTCCACCACAGCCTACTGGTCAAGTGGTCCTCCAGTGTGTGCTTGAAGATCTCCAATGAGGGAGACCTCAGCTCCAACACAGAGCCAGAAGGGGCCCCAGGGGCCAGCGAGTCCAAGCCTTCCTTCTCCGAATGAGTTAACTGAGGTAGAGAGTACAGCTCCTCATCTAGTGTTGCTTAGCTAGTGTATTAGGTAGGACTTGAACTCAGGTCTTCTTGGTTTCAAGGACAACTGTCTATTCACAAGATCTGGTGATGCAGTGGACAGAGCGCTAGGCCTAGAGTCAGGAAGACCTGAGTTTAAGTCTGGTCTCAAACACTTCCTAGCTGTGTGATCCTGGGCAAATCACTTCACCTCTGTCTGCCCCAATTCCCTCAACTGTACAATGTGGATAATAATAGCACCTACCTCAAAGGGCTGTTGTAAGGATCAGATGACATAACATTTGTCAAGTGCTTAGCACAGAGCTTGGCACCTAGTAGGTGCTACATAAATGCTTATTCCCTCCCTTCCTCTCTTCCCCACTCCTCTATGCTTCCTCTTTAGGTGCATAATAAGTATGAAGAGAATAAGTGCAAAGCAGTACAAATGTGGATAATTGCATGTAGTTTGAGTGTCGTGGGGAAGTTCAGGAGAGGCTGCATTTGGGCAGCTGGGCTTAAGCTGGCATTCTAAGGGGGGGAAGTGAGGATGGAGTACATTGGAGAGGGTGGGGGAGACTGCTCGTGCAAAGATGTTGAGGTAGCAAATGGAGCATTGTGTGCCATAAATAGGGAGGAGGCCAGTATGGCTGGACCACAGCCTCTGTGCTTTGCTGTGACTGCCTTCCAATGCCTGAAGATGCTTCTCCTGTCCTCACTTAGCCTTTTCTTCTCCAGGCTGAACATTTCTAGTTTCTTCAAATACAGCATGAAGCTTTTGTTTTGTTTTGTCTTAAATTTGCTTTAGCTAGTCTTACGTGTGCCCAGAGTGCTGAGAAAATCTTGATAATGACCACACCAGACAGGATTGCAGATACGTGGGAACAGCAATAAAAAGTGGGGTGAGACTGGGATTACCTTGGCTTTGATGAAGGTGGCCAGGGGTCCCTTGCCCAGTTCTGATGTCGTTTTTCCAGTGATGCTCAGGGAGGGAGCCACCATTTGCCCTGTCATTCGATCCACGTAGATGAAATGCACCAACCCTGGGAAGTCTTCCAGGTAAGTGAAGGCCAGGGTTAAGGAGGTTCTAATTCTGGCCATCCAGGATGATCCCAGGAAAAGCCCTCCGTTCACTAGGCCATCCCCAAAGGCAGTAAGAGACAGGTATGCCTTTTACCTGAATTCTAGTTCCATTTCATCCCTCTCCTCAAAGAGCACCCCTCCTTTTCCCTCCTTCTTCTTAATTCCTCCTAATTCTCAGTCTCAGGAGTCCCATGAGAAGCGCAAGACTCATGTTATTTGAGAGGGGGGACAGACAGTTAACGGACTGTTCTGACCCAGACATAATGGCCTAGAAGACAAGAGTGCTAGAGTTAGACCAAGACCTGGGTTTGAATGCTGACATCAGATACTTGCTAGCTGTGGACTTCACTAAAACTCTCTGATCCCATCTCCTCATTTGAAAGTGGGGACACTCATTCCACCTTCCTCAGAGGGTGGTTGGGATGCTCTAATGAGACAACGAACGTAAAGCAACCTGCAAACCTCAGAGTGCTTTATAAATGCCAACAACTGTCATCACCATCATCATCATCAGGATTTTTGAGGCCTGTTTCTCGGACACTGATGCATCTCTTCAGGGGCACAGTCTCTTCTCTATACTCTAACTGCCTAATGTGCTGAGGCCAGTACAACAGCAGGCAGGGCACAGGGTTCCCTGCTGATGCCATCAGTTTAAATGTGATCTGTTCCCTGATTTAAGAACTTAAGCACTTTGACTCAGGCAGAAAGGAAACAGTCAATTTGGCCAACTTTTAGCCAGGTATATCCTGGGCCAAGGGTGACCTCTCTCTTTCCCTCCTGTAAAGAATGGAAAAAAGTAATCTCTCCCTAACAAATCTCAGGAAATTATGCCCAAAGGAGAGTACTTGATGTTGTAAATGGGGAGAAGAAGCATTTACAAATGTTAGGCACTGTGCTAAGTACTTTACAAATATGATCTCATTTGATCCTCACAATAACCTTGGGAGGCAGGTGCTCCCAAGCCCCATTTCATAGATGAGGAAACTGAGGCAAACAAAAGTTAAGTGACTTTCCCAGAGTTACCCAGCTAGAAAATATCTGAGGCCAGATTTGAACTCAGGTCTTCCTGACTTCAGGCCTGGCATTCTATCCATTTTACCACTTCATGGCTTATAAAAACAGAGGCAGTGTGGCAGAGTAGCAAGATCACCATTCTGGGAGTCAGGATATCTAGTCCTCGCTTAGTCAGTCAACAAGCATTTATTAAGCACCACTGTATGCCACATGCTAAGCACTGGGGATACAAAGAAAGGCAAAAACCAGCTCCTGTTCTCAAGGATCACACAGTCTAACGGCTCTGCTATTCACAAGTTACAGGATCTGGGAAAATCGCTTCTCCTTCCTTGGTGTTGAGAAGGTGGACCAGAGGCCTTTCACTGTAGCTCTAGGCCTTTGGGGCCTTTGCATGAAGGCTGCTCTAGGAAGAGTTCTGTTCATGCTGGGCTCTGAACGTCTGATGCTCACTGTAAGGATGAACTCGAGAGCCTCTGCCCCAGTCGTCCCCCACGCCCACGTGCTCCCCCTCCTCACCTCTGCCTACTGGCTACCTTCAAGACCCATCTCAAAAACTACATTCTAGGGAGGTCTTTCTTGGTCCCTCCCCAGCTACTAGTGCCTTCCCCTCTAATAATAATAGGTAGTATGTATATATACATATATATACACAGAACTATACAGCACATATGCGCGCGCGCGCACACACACACACATATATGTATTATATGGAAATATCTATGTAAAATACTCAATGGGGCAGTTAGAGGGCACAGTGGATAGAGTGTTGACCCTGGAGTCAGGAGGACCCGAGTTCAAATCAGACTTCAGATACTTATTAACTTTGTGACCCTGGGCAAGTCATTTAACCCTGTTTGCCTCTGTTTTCTCATCTGTAAAACAAGCTGGAGAAGGAAATGGCAAACTCCTCCAGTATCTGCCAAGAAAACCCTAAATGGAGCCATGAAGAATTGGACGTGACTGACTAAACAACAAATATACTCAATACTCATATATATACATATATGTATATTTTATAAATATATTATATAACTCAATCTCTTCACATATACTTAATATCTCAACATATGTACACACTCAATACTTTCTCTCCCCATACATACACACACTCACATATATACACACATACATATATACCCTACATACTGTATGTATGTGTGTGTCGAACTTTAGGTTTGCAAAGCACTTTACAAACATCATCTCATTTGATTTTCACAACTCTGTGAAGCAGGTGCATTATCATCCCCATTTCGCAGATGAGGAAACTGAGGCTGAGAGTGGTTAAGCGATTTGTCCAGGGTCACATGGCTAATAAATATCTGAGGCAGGATTCAAATTCAGGTCGTCCTCCGCTAAGGTTCCCTTGTATTTGCTCGGCATAGATCTTGTGTATGATTGTCATGTACAGGCTGTCTCACCCATTACTATGGAAGCAGCTTGAGGGCAGGGAAGGTTTTGGATCTTTTTCCCTGGATGGCCAGCACTTAGCCCAGTGCCTGGCCCAGAGGGAGTGACCTCTTGTAAGTAACATGCTTGCTGCTGCTAAGAGAATGATTAAAAAAAAAAAGGGCCATGTACACAGTGCCATTTATACCCTGCAGACCCTTCTGAGAGATTAAGTAGAGACACCCTAAATATGGTGCTTCCTTGTCCTCGTTCCCCCTTACTTAGTCAGGATATGACACCAAGGTGATGTTTCGCTGGCTCTTCACCATTAAAAAGTCTTTCCAGTCCACCAGCATGTCTCTGTCAGAGGAAACCAGAGAAAGCACAGGTGACTTGTGGCCGCAGGCTCTAGCCAAGGCCTAGGCCCCGCCTCCAATCATTTGCCAACTTACTGGATGACACTCTGGGCCCGGTTCTGTAGGCTCTCAGGGAGGCAGTGCCCTCCCCCTCCAGGTGCTGGGCTCAGGAAGTAGACTCGGTACATGGAGCAAAGCTGCCGCTTTACCTTTGCACAGGCTTGGATGATCCTGACAGTCAAGGACTCAATCAGCAAGTACTCATTGAGCCCTTATCCAGTGCACTTGGCTAAGTGCTGAGGATGCAAAGAAAGGCTAAACACAGTCCCTGCCCTCCAGCAGCTTACGTGCCAGTGGGAGAGACATGTAAACCCAGTGCAGAGAGATGGACAGTAACCTCAGAGGGGAAGACTGGCCTGGGGACTGAAGAGAAGATCGATGCTGAGTACGCAAGTCTCCTGTCTTCCCCTAGTTCTGGTGTGCCTATTTTTCTTGGCCTTCCCCTCTCCCACATACTGGGGACTCGGTCTCCCCAGTGTTCTCTCTTCCTTGATCATATTCCTTCCTGGGAATACTCTCTTTTGCTCTGAGTTTACTGAGCTTCTTTCTGTCTTTTAATACTCTGTCATCTCTGAATCAGAGAATCAGAGCAAGCAGCCTTAGAATTCATCCCACCCAATGGTTCCCATTACTCTCACCTCCCATCTCCCCTCCCCTCTGCCCCCAACCCATTTCTACTAGTTCCTGTACTTACTCCAAGTATGACCCCTGGTCACTTCTGGAGAAAGCCTTGCTCTTAAATTCCAGCCATGAGCTCTGAAACAAGGATAGATAACTTTGGGGACACAAACTCCTAAAGAACCCTCTGCCACCCAGCAATGCTGCAGCTAGAAACGAGACCCCAGGGCTTCCTAAGCATTTATGAACACTTCAGAATTACCTTTAGAGCCAGTAAACATTTCATATGCCATTCTATCAGCCAGCTCTTCTATCCACCTAACACAATGCTAATGCACATTCAGGATGTTGGCCCTGAGGCACAACAAGATCCTGAAATGCCTCCAGAATCATCAAAGACTAGCTGTGTTTTAATATTCCAAACACTTTACTTCCTCATGCTCCACTTCATTTTTCACAGTGACATCAGGCCCACCCTCCTAAAATATGACCTTCACTACTTCATTCCTTTGCTTACAAATTTCCAATCAATGTCCCACTGCCAAAGGAACAAAGCCTGAACTTATCATCTTGGCATTCAAGGCCGTCTCTAGCCTGGCCCCACCCAACCTCCTCCATTTTTATTCCCCTCTGCTCTTTGTCACATTCTCTTTTCCAACCTGGCAGATCTTCCCCTTCCCCAAAGCAGTCCATGCACAGCTTCCTTCTCTGCCTGGTTGCATGGTTGACTTCCATTTAATCCATAATTATTAAATGCCTACTAAGTGTAAGGCCACGGCACTACTCTCCTCACCTAAGATGCTCTCCCTTTCAAAGCCCCAGTTCAAAGGCCATCATCTCCATGACATCTTCCCCACTTCTCCAGCCCATCCTGATCTTCCCTTTCTTCTTCCTTCTCTACAGTACTGAGCATATACACCACTGCTGGTACACATTGTTACTGAATGGATATAACTTTCACGATAAGACTAGAATCTCCTCAAGGGCAGGATTACGGTTTACAGTTAGTTTTTTGAGAGTTTACACAGCACCTTGCACAGTGTAGGCAAAACAGATGTTTCATAAATATATATGAACTGACTAACCATGATTCCAGAGGACTCTGGATGAAACATGCTCCCCACCCACCTACCTCCTGACAGAGATGATGGACTAAGGGTGGAGACTGAGATAGAAACTTTTAGATGTGGCCAATGCAGGCATCTGTTTGCTTGACTATGCATATTTGTGACAACGGTTTTGTTTTTTCCTTTTCCTTTTTTCCAATGGAGGAAGATGGAAGGGAAAGAGAATAGATTTTTGTTAATTGAAGAGATTAAGCCAATTTTTTTAAAGTCCAAGTAACTGAAATATTGTAACATTACAACAGCACAAATAAAGTCTATGATATTAACCTTAAAAAATACATGTGAAATGAATTTTAAGTTATTTGATAATTGATAATAAGTCATGTCTGGAATTTATGATAATCCTGTTAACCAGACTGTTTGATTAACAAAAAATGCCTCATTCCTGAACCCCAAGGGTTTAATATTTTGAGTAAAAGTTTTGCATTTTCCTCTGACTTCCTTATTTTGGTTTTCTAATTCACTGGTGTCCCCAAGAGCACAAGAGTCCCTTCTTTCTCCTGGGGGGGGGGCAGAGTTTTGGCTCTGATTTCCTATGAGGTTTAAGTCTGACCTGAAGGTCCTGTCCTCCTCGATTCTTCACAAATCTGTCCATCCTCTGGCGCAAGTCCCCCAGAAGAGGCTGGGAACGAAGGGCACTCCCTGCTTCCTGCCTTTCCTTCAGCTTCTTCTCTAGTACTGAAAACCCATCCAGCAGCTGGTAAAGGGAGAGAGCCATGTGGCAGCTGGGGCTCTGCAGGGAGAAAGCAGAGGGGGTGAGGGGTCTAGAGAAAAGAGCCCCCCACCCTCACCAGGAAGCAAGGCAGCCAGTTCAGGCCAACTCTCTTACCTTGGTTAGAAGCACCATAGAGATGCCTGGCCAGAGAGGCATGCAGTACATGGTGTGAGGCATCATAACACAGTGGCTCTCCTTTAAAGTAGCATCAAGGAAAATCCTTCTGGGATTAGAAGGTGCAGGAGAAGGGGACGCCAGCGTTTGCAAGGTGTCCTCTGCTATCTAATTCAGGAAGACAGAGACATGAGTGAGACGAAGAGTGCAGAGGAAAATAAGATTAGGTCTTCCCTCTTCATGGATTTCCTTGTCTTGTGACAGGGAAAGGAGAAAATCATTTCTAGATCCAAATGGTTCCGCTCTGAAGTCACTGCTTCTTAGTTCAACCTCCCAAGATACAACCATCCTATTCTTTCTGATTTCTGTACATCACTCCACCTCACAGTCTGGAAAAAGGTTGATATGGGGAGGTGGGAAAAAGGGGGTGAAATGGGTAGAGAACAGGACTGGAAAGGTAGAGAAAATTGGTAGATGTGGTAGAAAGACACATAGTATCTTGCCTCTCCAGAACACTAAAATAACTTAAAATGGTTAAGTACTTAATTTTAAAATTATAATATTTAAAGTTACACAGTCCCAAGATGTTCTTTCAGTCCTCCAGTATCTCAAAAACCAACTAATTGTGCAAGTGGGGAAACTAAGGCACAAAGAGAATACATGACCATGACTAGTAGGCGGGCTTTAACTGGGAGGCCACACTGAACTTCAACTCTTGATGAAATGTATTTAATATCTGTTAAAGATAATCTGAGAAAGTATGCCCCAACTGTCCCCCAGCTCTTGGGAACAATGAATTCATCATATGAATATCACAGATTCAAAAGATTTAGGGCTGGAAGCACCCTTACCCAGCCCTCTCATTTTATAAATGAGGAGATGGAGGCTCAGAGAGGTTAAGTGATTTGCCAAGGGTTACCCAGCTAGTTAAGCATATGAGTTGGGATTTGAAGCCAGGTAATCCTGATCTCAAGTCCAGTGCTCTATCAACTACTATACTGTTCTGTGAAGAAACTGTTACTAGTGTTTTGCCAGAATGAGCCAGGCTTAGGGAAGGGATCTGCCCTAAGTCTAAACTTCTCATCCACAGACCCTGATGGACTGGACTTTGAAAATATGCGTGCACCCTGTTAAAAGAGGAAGACCTGGCATTCTGCACAGGAAAGAAGTGAGGGAGTCTCCCTTGGTACAAAAGTCTATATCCTAAGTCTGTCCCCAAGGGGGTCCACTGAAGTTCCAGGATAAGTCCATTTATCCCCCAAGACGAACTCACCTGGACAAAGGCAGCATCGGCATCCTCACCAGCTGGTGGAGTTCCACCCTCCAGCCAGATGGTACTTCCTGTAAAAGTTACAAAGGATTTGTATGTTGTCTGTCCTTTCCCAAAGGAGAGAGCTCACTGGAGCAGAGAGAGATCTGTGACAAGGGCAACAACTATAGCATCAGGCAGAGGCAAAGAGGCCCCTGCCCAAATAGGCAGAAAAGGCCGTCTTGCTCTTGGGGCTCTTGAAAGGGCAGTCCCAGCCTGTTACCAGAAAGTTCAAACTCAAGTGTACAGAGGGATTTCCTGGAACTCAGGCCATTTTCTGACTGACCATATTTCCTTCTTGTTCCCTGCTCACTGTATGTCACCACAACAAAAGTAGTTGGGGGTGAGATAAAAAGGAAACATGCCCTCAGAGCTAACATGCTCCCTTCTATGGGGAGAAAACTCTTAGGTAAGACCCAAAACGCAGCTAAGGCAGACACCTGAGTGACAGAAGTCCTGTAAATGCCCTGCTGTCTGGGGGGCTCTGAGCAGGAATGCAGCTCCTCTATCATCTGCACTCCCCCTCACTTTCCACATATACACCTGCTCCTCCATCAAGAGTCCTTGGAATCCCTTCCCAATAGCTCTTGACCTTCTTCAGCCTCTCTTGTATCCTTTTACCCACAATTCGCTCAGTGGCTGCAAGGGCAGGGATGACACAGATATTTCCAGCAACTTCATATTCACTAGAGGCATTTTTCCATACAATGTTGTATATGGCTCAGGTCACAAGCCAGCTTGCAAAAGGCTATTTGATAAAGATTGTAATTGAACAAAGTATGAAAAGTAACTGGCTGTGTATTTGCCACAGTGCTGTTTTCTATTATTTTCACTGCCTATAACCACCATGTACAAAAGGGTGTCTAGGGGGAAACATGTGCTTAGTTTCAAATGACTGACATGTGAACTTTTGGAAATAATTTCTCTCTAAGTTGAAGACTTCATATCCTGTAAAATGCTTATCAGGCACTCACTGCAGAAGACCTCACCTCCTCCTTTACTGAGGAAAACAGGTCATATGTTGTGAGCTTACTCTTCTTCCTGTTCTATGCCTTAAAATGCCTCTACATTCTCTCATCCTTTGCTCCAGCCTCTGATGGTGAAAGGGCTTTTCCCTGGCAGAGACCAACCCTCCTACTTGTGCCTGAGCCCTTCATTCATTCTCTATGAATTTATTTAGTACTCTAGGGTTTATAAAGCACACTTTCTTCACCACAATCCTATGAAGCAAGTAATATTGGTATGTCGTTATCTACAGCTAGATGGCACAGTAGAGAGAGGGCTGCTGGGCCCAAAGGACCTGAGGCTCTTCTTCAAATCCTGCCTCAGATACTTCCAGCTGTATGATGAGCGGGCAAGTCAATTAATCGCTATCAGTCTCAGTTTCTTTATCTGTAAAATTGGCATGATAATAGCACCTACTTCTTGGAATTGCTGAGGATAAAATGAGATGTTTATAAAGTGCCTTGCCAACCCTGAAGTGTTATATAATTGATACGTGACAGTCTATTTATTGTGTAGTTGGCATGACGTTAAGTTGTATTTATGGGAATAACCAGCCAATCATACAAATTTAAAGCCAGAAGAGACTTTAGAGACCAGGTCATCCAATCCCTTCCTTTCAGTGTCCCTGAGGACACTGAGGCCTGGAGAATGGAAGTGGTTTGCCCAAGGTAAAGAGACAGCATTTCTGGCAGGGCTGGGATTCAAACCCAAGTCTCCAGACTCCCAGTTCAAGGCTTTCCCTGCTATCACACCATGCTGCTATCTCCCCTTCACTGAAGGAGTTGTTATGATTTGGAGGAAGGGCTGAGGGCATCTGAAGGCATGTGGTGTGCCTCTCCGTTTCTGCTGGGCGCCTTCAAGGGTCTGAACCTGGCACTTCCTCACTCTGGTTTCACAAGTGGACTTTCGGTTTCCTTTCTCTCCCCGTGGCTCTAGGTCTTACCTGAGCTCTGTCCACCAGGGGAGGGTGCTGGAGTGTAGTATTCCTCCACCACTGAAAGACTGTCTGTCTCCTGCAAGAAAAAAAGGAGGGAGTAAAGGCTCAGAAACAGCAGGTTCCTTCAGATGGCTCTCACCTGGGAGCTTCTAAGACTCTTTTTTAGCCTGACACTATCTTGCCCAGGCTGGAGGTATAGCAGCCACTTATGGGCTGAACCCCACTACTGACTGGCATGGAAGCTTTTTTTTTCTGGGTGAGGCCATTGGGTTTAAGTGACTTGGCCAGAGTCACACAGCTAGTGAGTATTATGTGTCTGAGGCTAGATTTGAACTCGGGTCCTCCTGGCTCCAGGGCCAGTGCTCTATCTACTTTGCCACCTAGCTGCCCCTTGGCATGGAAGCTCTGACCTGCTCCATTTGTGACCTGGTCTGGTTTGCCCCTCCCTAAACAACCTGGGGGCTCACCATGTTAATGCTGACCTTAGCTACTGCAGATGTCCAACTGGCACAGTTCTGCGCCCCTCAGGACTTCCAAACTCAAGAGACCCACCAGCCTTAAGCTCCCCAGTAGCAGGGGTTATGAGCACGCATCACCTGGTTCAGCCCAAGGCTGCCCTGCTCTCTTCTAAAGGGTGGAAGTTTATGATAGGGGAGAGTAGCTGGAAACAGGTGCCTTGTCCCAAGGGGGCTCTGACTCTCCAGAGAGGCATCCCACAACCAATGCACCCACCGTCTCCTCTGAACTACTCCTAGCCGATGAATGTGGGCCAGGGCTTCTCATCTGCTGCACAGGAATGTTCTGGCTGTTGCTGGGTCTCTGCTGAGATGTCTTTCCTTGGGAAGCCTAAGGAAATTGGGATACAAGTTGATGGATAAGCTGAGTAGAAGTCTGTTCCATGGGAATATGCCTCTGCATCATTCCTTCCAGCACTTCATACACTCAGGCAGGCCTATAGAGAGCAGGGGGTTATGCATTCCTCCCGTCCCCCTTCACTCCATGACCCATCCCCCTTACACCCAGTAACGCCCTTCTCTTCCCCACCCCCATGCCAATTTTCTGTTCAACAGACCATGGTAAGAGCTAGAACCCAGGGGGTGGAGTGGCAACCTGCATGCTGTTCTCTTCCATTGAGCTGTCACTGGGGTATAGGTCTTGAACCATGAGAAGGATGGAGAGAAGATCTGCTGAGCGCAGGGGACTAGCGTGATGGCTGCAGACATGGGGAAAGAGTCAACAAGTTATGAAAGGCTCCTTTCCTTTCCAAATGGTTCATGGATTGAGTGCCAGGGAGCTCCCTGGATGGGTAGGTATGGACAATACTAAGCAGGGTATGGGATGGAAGCCCAGGGTGGGCTGTGTCTTGGACAATGTCACCTGCACTGAGACTGAGAAGATAGGACTGCTGTGGCTAGTAAATATGAAGATTAAAAATATAAAAACAAACTTCAGGGCATATCATGAAATCAGTATAAGACATGGCCCCTGTGTTCAAAGAGCTCATGATTTTTCTGTGAGTCATGGTGGAGGAGCAGAAAGAGCACTAGGCTTGCAACCAAGAAGATCTGGGTTCAAACTACCTCCAACATTAGCTGTGAGATCCTGGGCAAGTCACTTATCCACTTGAGTCTCAGTGTAATAAAAACTTCTAGCAGCTACCTCATGGGATTTTTGTGAGGTTCAATAGAGACAGTATATGAAAATATTTTTGGACAACTCTGAGATGCTATTTAATTCATTCAAACTTAGTTAAAAATAAGAACTGTCCCAAAGTGGGCTCTCCTTCCTTGGAGGTCTTTACAAGAAGCCTGGATGACTTCTCTTCCTCGCCCCTTTGTCGTACAGGTCACAGTAGGGATCTCTTTCATGTTTGGGTAGGACAAGATGGCCTCTGAGATGCCTTCCAACCCCTCAAATTCTGTGAATCTTTTATTGGGAAGATGAGAACTTTCATAGGTGAGACAACGAGTAGGACACAAGACCCTAACTGAGGACTGAACTGCAAGCTGGCAAGAAGGAAGACAGCAGTGAGGGCCATCAGGAAAGGCCCTATGGATCCAGGCTCTCAAGAACTGGGCTGGGGGTGGAGGAAGTCACGAGCAGAGGGTGAGGGGTCAGGGACCTCCCACCTAAAATCAAGGTGCAGGTCTGTCTCTGTATTGGTACAGAGCTGCAGGACTCACATGGAGTAGAAGGCCAGCAGCTTGGTGTGGACAAGCAGGAAGGCATGGAGGACCTCTTCCCCACCACTGTCAGAGCGGGTATTGATGTGGTGAACGACGTGTTCTTCCAGGGCCTCAATACACTGTTCACAGAGCTGGGGGTGGATCAGCCTCTCAACAGCCTACTCAGGTAGAGGGAGGTACAGGTAAAGAAAACACCAAGATATGACACTGATCATTCCTTGCAACCCATGTGACATGGTGGGTGAGTGAGAGCAGCCCTCATGGTGAAGGCATAAGAGTGCCCCACCACAAGCCTACTTCAGAAACCCAGGCCCAACTGTGGGTATCCAGCCTCAGGAAGACCAACAAAGGAGAGAACACTGGAAATTTGCGAGTCTGATAGGGACTTTAGGGCCCTGGCTTCGCTTGGGAAACTCTGAAGAAAACTACCTCCTGTGGAGAGTGTAGCTACTACCTAGCACAGAAGCATGCATGTTTAATAAGGATGGGAAAGCAGGCAGATCAACACTATGTCCGGAGTCAGAAAGACATGGGTCTGGGTCCTGCCTCAGATACCCAGTAGCTGTGGACTCTGGGTGAGTTTCTTGACCTCCCCTTGCCTTAGTTTCCTCATCTGTAAAATGAGGGGATTGAACTCTATAGACTCTAAGACCCCTATAATTCTAAATCAATGATCTTATAATCCAGAGGTTGCCATCTTTCCTAGGAGCTCACTGACCCAGGATTCATCACCCACTGAAAAAGAATTCAGATTGGAGATTTCTGCCAATTTTCAGGACCATCCATGTTCCCTGCTCTGCACAGACAACAATCTCTCCTTGGGTGGTACTGCCACGCCCCATGGGGCAGGATTGTCTAGAATCTCACAGTATGGAAAGTTCAGAGCAGGGCTCCCTGCTTCCCCCACCCTCACCTCAGGGCCCCACAGAAGTTACCTCTACCAGAAAGCTCTGCTCTTGGTTTCGTAGGCGGCTGTATGTATGGAGCAGGCTCTGGAAGAGGGCCCATACTTGGGTGCGTTTCTGAAGGTCTGAGGGCCGGAGCCTAGAAGTGGGTCAAGGTCAGGGATGATAGGAGGGAACCAGGTTAGCTCCAAGCCCAATGAAACCCTGAATCCTAAATGACCAGATCCATTCAGTAAGTAAAGGGAAAATTTACCCTGCTTACCTTTCCTCACCCCCAGCCCCATCTCAGCAGAGAAAGAAATAATGAGACATGAGACAGTAACAAGGACAGAGCACAATCAGGAGGGAGGGGCATGCCTGGAGCTCCCCAAGTAAACAAATACACACAGACGTGGAGCCTATATAGAGAGACACCCAGGCTTAGTCAATCTCTCTATCTTCCCCCTCCCTCACCCTCTGTGTGTCCCCCTCAACCTCCATCCCATACACCAGCTTTCTTTCTCTAGGTAGGTTCTTAATCCGGGGTCCATGGATTTGTCTTTTTAAAAAATATTTTGATAACTATATTTCAATAGAATTGGTTTCTTTTGTCATGAAACGTATTTTATGTATGCATTTAAAAACATTATTCTGAAAAGGGGCCCACAGGCTTCACAAGACACAAACTCCTGCTCAAAGACTATCAGCTGCAAACTAGTTGTGATCTGCATCAATGAAAGGAGTTTCCACAACCAGAGCTTCTTATGCCAGTTAGATAAAGAAAGGACAGGATGAGGGTTTGCTCTTACCAAGACAAAACAAAACTCAGACAAATTCTATGTCTTAATTCAGTAGGTGAAGGCTGTGGGAGAACTGAGTCGTTAACACAAAAGAGGGTAAGAAACTCTGCTCTTAGAAGCTGTCTAGCCAACAGTTGCTAATGCTCTCCCTGAATTCAGTTTGACTTAGTAAGCAGAGGTTACATGCTTCTCTGTGCCAGGCATTGTGCTGGGCTCTGGGGGGGGGGAAGCTGGCATAAAAACACCTTTAAAGCACAGGTACCCAATCCACCGAGAGAGAGGGGCATGCGGCAGGACCCAGCGCAGCAGCTGCCTCTGAATCCCACTTCCCTGATCAGGACACTGTCGACACTGAGCTGGCTGCCTGTACCACTTGCCACCAGACCCAGAGATCATCTGTGGGGCACAGGCCTATGAGGAGGCAGCTTGGTAAGGAGGAAAGAGCAAGAACTGAAGGTCAGGAGATCTGTCTCCTAGACCCAGCTCTGCTGCTGATTGACTGTGGGACCTTGGCATCCCTGGCTTTCAGGATAAATTGTAATACATCAGGACTTCTTATAAACGGGGCTCATGAATTTGTTTTTGAAAATATTTTGAAAACTGTATTTCAATATAATTGGTTTCTCTTGTGATCTTACGTAACTTGTTTTATGCATTTTAAAACTGACAATCCCAGGTATTTTGTTCTTTGCATCATTTTGAGAAGGGGTCCATAGGCTTCCCCAGGCTGCCAAAGGGAGCCCCTGCTCTAGGTCATCTATAAGGTCCCTGGAAACTCTAACAGCCTATCATTTCCTCTTATGGAAAGTGAAAAAGGATCCAGTTTCTCAACCCTCCATTCCTGAGTGTGGACACACTACTGTCTTCTTTCTCTTCAGGACCCAAGTGAACCAGAGGCTGCTACCCCTCTGCTGTACTACAATCTTGGAGGACTCTACCTGAGCAATCATTCACAGAATAAGAAGACTTGGAGCTGGAAGATACTTTGGAGAGCACCCAGATGCTGGAAAAGGGTCCCCCCCCCCGCCCCTGTGAGAATCTGCTCTGAACAGCTCCCCATCTCTGGGAATCCAAAGAGCACCAGACGGGAAAGGGGCTCAGTGTGGAAGAGCTGGAACCCGGTACAGGCAAGATGAACAGAGAGATGCCCAGAGCACCACATACAGAACGAGGCACCACAAGAAACCCTTCTAAAAATATAACTTTTTATAAATGCACACATTAATGCCATAAAATTCTGTTATCCACAATACATCAAGTCACCAGATGCCTCTGATGGATAGTAACATGTCTATTTTTTTAAAATGTAGAATTAGAGTCACTTTTCCTTTCCTAGGGGTTAGTCCAATGCCCTACAAATTCCATGTCCAGCATCTGACTCTATACCTTGGAATGATTAGGAAAACCAGATTTAGGGACCAGGGCCAGGGCAAAGAGGAGATGGAAGTAGCAGCTCAGAAGCCCTGCAGAGAGATCACTCCATTTGGCTTTAATTTGGTCTAAGTCATTTGAGAGGTAATGTGCCCATCTGGATACAGAATCGGCCTCAGAGTCAGGAAGAACTGGGCTCAGTTCTGGTCTCTGACACATACTTGCAGTGTGACCCTGGGAAAGTCACTTAAGTGCTCAGCATTCCAGGCAACCCACGAAGTCCACAAGCAGAACAGCGGCGGATGTATATTGGTGGAGGGTGCTTCCTCACTGGGTATTCACATCGATGAACTGCCCTAACTGCCTCCAAACCACATCCTTCCCCCAACACGGGAGACTCACTCTTTCCGGATGAGATGACTGTCCAGGGCAACCAGTCCAAAGTGCATCTCAAACAGATGCTTCAGTACGTACACCTTCCGGCGCAGGTCATCCTCACTCTCTGTGCCATCACCGTTGATGGCGATAAACAGGCATTCACCAAACTGAAAGCACAGTCAAGTGAATGAAGACTCTGAAACTCTCCCTCATCTCTTCTCAATCTACTTTCCCCCCATTAGAATGTAAACCTCTTGAGGGCAGGGGCTCAGCACAGGGCACATGCCTGGCACACTGTGAGTGCTTAATAAATGTTTGTTGTAGTACAGTGCCTGGTATATAGAAGGCAATTAGTGCTTAGCATATATAGTAGGCAACTGATAACTGTTTGGTTGACTAACTGGTAGCCCAGTGTCTAATATAGAGCCAAGCACTGAGTAGGTGATTAATAAATTCTTGTTGATTGATTCTGAAGGGCTAATACTAAAGAGTGCCTCTCCCCTACTAAGCCTGAGCCACCCCCCAGTCCTTCCTCAGCACCATCAACGGGCACTTAGACGTACCTTTCTGTGTGTCAGCCCCCCGCTGTGCGCCTCTAAGGTACAGTCTCTTCCCTCTGGGGGCTTACATAGAGGACATCTATACCCACGGAGGGGGGGCCTTGGGCAGCCTGCTTACCAAGTGAAGGACATACAGATGATTGCTTTTCTCAGCCAAGAAGCAGGTGTAGGTGTCCGAGAGCTTCTCCAGCATCGTCATACAGGAGATGATCACAGGTGCAAAAAACGTGCTGAGGCGGTCCTCCAGAGCAGGGAGCTGGAGTGCAGACAAGGAGACCAGTCAGAAATGCACGCTAACTGCTTGCAGCATTTTATCTGTAGCAGGTCTCTCTCTAGTTTACCACAGTCAATGATCCCTCAAAGGAACATCCCCAGCCTCTCAGAGGTGGGCTGCTGTCCTCCCCATGCTATTTGTGGACCTTTGTGACCCTAGACAAGTCCTTTCACCTTTTATGGCTCCACTCTCCCCTTTGTGCAATGGAGGTGAGTTCTGATCTAAGTCTATGACACTAAGACCAGGACTTAAGTTTTTTTATTTTGAAGAGGAAACAGGGTGGATCATCAGCACTAACTGATTAATGATAACAGTAACAGCTCCCATTTTTATAGCGCTTTAAGGTTTGCAGAGAATTTCACATATATTATCTCATTTGATCCTTACAACAGCCCTTTGAAGTAGATGCTATTATTATCATCCTCCTCATTTTATAGGTGAGGAAACTGAGGCAGACAGAGGTTAAATGACTTGACCAGGGTTACAGCCTAAGGCCGGATTTGTGTCCAGGTCCTTCTGGTTCCACTCCCAGCATTTTATCGATTATACCACAGTGCCTCTTATTATAGGCCTCCTCAACAGGGTGGACAAAAAAAATCACAACTGGATTTTTATAGTTTTTCTAAAATTCCATATATTGCGTTTCAGTAATTTAACATTTTAACATTTTAATTTAACATTTTAAAGATCAAGATGCTGTCATGAAATTGGGATTACATCTTCTAATTCCACAGTATTTGAGATCACACCATCATCCTATAACTTTAGAGAAGGTCACAAGAAGCATATCAGGGATTTTATAGGGGGTTTCCAGGAGCTCTTCTATGGATTATACAGAATGATTAAGCAAGGCCATTCTACCCAATGAGAAGCAAGGTCAGCCAGTCCAGGAGATCCCACAAGGCAGAGTGGTAGAGTAGGAAAGAAGGCTGGCAAAGGAGTCAGGAGACATAGGTTCATTCCCTAGCTCTGCCATTAATCAATGGTGCAGTAGAAACATCACCGATTCTGGTGTCAGAAGACCTGGGTGCCAATCCAGCCTCTGGCACTTACTACCTGTGTGATATTGGGCAAATCACTCAACCTCCCTGGGCTTCGGTTTCTTCAACTACAAAAGGAGGAGTAGGACTGGATGATCACTAAGGCTTTTAGTCTAAATCAATGGGTCTGTAATCCATCTGTACAAATAACATGCTTATTAACTTCAATACCAATTCACAGGAATAAGAAATAACAAGTCCTAGAGTTTCTTTGCAACTTGTTAAATCAAACCCTTTTCTTTCTCTAAAAGTCTGAAGGGTCAAGAAAGGAAACATACTGAACTTTACTGGGGATGGGGCTGTGGTTGCTGTTGGCATTTTGGTCATGTCCAGGTTGTGGGAGATCTGGTCAAAATCTTTTACTTTTAGAAAGAAAAGCCTGAGAAGTAGAAATGGAAGAACCAGGGGGAGAGAGAGAGAGAGAGAAAGAGAGAGAGAGAGAGAGACAGACAGACAGACAGACAGACAGACACAGACACACAGACACACACGCACACACAAAGAGAGAGAGAGACAAAGAGAGATACAGAGATGGGGGGTCAAGAGAGAGAGAGACAGACAGAAAGCCAGAGATAGGCTAAGAGGCAGATAGGAGAGAAGGGGGGGGGAGATGAAGGAAGGTGGAAAAGGAGAGAGGATGAGAAAGAGAGAGAGAAGAAGGGAGAGGGAGACAGGAAGAGAGGGAGAGAGATTTAAGTAGAAAAAACTTGGACTGAGACTTCTCAGCAGACAAAGGAATGTATTTGAAAGCAAAAATATAATTACCTTAGGAGTCAATCAAAAGGTCACTTAGTGAGAAAAGACACTACAGGTTTATCCAGGTTGAGTAAGAAAGTAAGGAAGGGTCCATCTTCCAAGTTGGCTTCTGTAACTATTTTGTACTTTGTATTTGGTATAGTTTCTAAAATAGCCTGGGCCCCTCTCTATTAGTCAACCAAATGCATGCAGTCAAATACATACTATCGTACTTTAAAAACCCAGCAGTAGAACCTGGGCATGTTAGATTTCAGGGACCCTAAAGCACCTCAGGGGAGCCCAAGAGAGCATCCCCCATGCAGCTTTTTACACCCTTTCATCAGAGAAGTGGAAGTACATGGCAGCAATTCTGCTGCCACAAGTACAGAAAAAAGCAAGAAGAGCCAATGATGTCTCCCCTGATTCACTGGAGGGCTAGTGGGGGGTTTTGTGAAAAACTGGCCTGAGTTGAACCCACTGGGAAAGTTCTCAACATTCTCCCTGAGAAGAAGTGCAGAGCACACTTGGACTCTCCTGATGCCCACAAACGACAGGCCAACATGGAACCGAACAAAGCCTTGCCTCGGACAGAGAAATATGCAGTGGCAGAGATAACTTACAGGCATTAAAAATGCAAATGGAGATGGCACTATTTATTGCCAACTTACTGTCTTGACAGGTTCTTTGTGTTCAGTAGCAGAATTTGTACCCAGACGCTACAGAAGAATTGGTGAAAGGTGTAAGCATGCAACGATAATACTCTTAATAACAATAACTGAGAGGTATTTCGGGTATATGAGAAAGAGCTCTGGTCACAAAGACCTGAGTTCAAGTCCCACCACTGACAGTGAAAGGCTGTGTGACTGGGTAAAATCCTGAACTAATGGTCTAGGCAACTCTCCAAGATTCTGAGTTGCAGAGGAGGTGCTAACCTGTATCGACAGACAAAGTTTCCTCACCTGGGAGTTCCCAATGCATACAAGCTCAATGCCTATCCCCATCTCCCTCAATAACAATAAAACCTTTGTAATACCAACTACAATAAATGTGTGTGTGCATATACATATAAATAGGGAATCCCAAATGTCTTAGTGCAGTTTTAAGTTAGTAAAGTCCAATGTTTTCTTTTCTTAGACTATTTTATTCTAAAAAGAAAAGTCATTTGGAAACTGAAAATGCAGGAAAGTCTGTTTTATTCTTAGCCTGCAAGTAAATAAGGAGAGGAAGAAATAAGCCAATATTTTAAGTTTTATACTGCTTTTGCTGAAAGCAACAGCTGACAGTTACATATTTCTTCACAGTTTAAAAAGCACTAGACAAACGTATATTTTTTCATTTGCCCCTATATTAACACTGTGAAGTACACAGTCCAATTCTTATTATTCCCATTTTATATGCTATGAAATTGAGGCTCAGAGTGGTGAATTAATTTGTCCAAGGTTAAACAACTAACATGGGGACAAGCAGAACTAGAACCCAGGTCTATGTGCCTCTAATACACTCTTTATATTTTGCTACTTTGTTGAAAAAACAAACAAACAAACCAAAACCAATCAACCAATCATTAATTGCCTGTGATGTACTGGGGACATAAATGGAAAAGCAAGATAGTTCCTGCCCTCATGGTGCTTATATTTGACTGTTGATGTAAAACAACAACACCACAACAAATCTCTGCATTTTATCCTTGAAACTAAGATAGGTAAAATGTCTTATTAAATAATTATGTGTTAGCTACTGAAAAATTCATAATTAAAATAATTTAAGTTAAATAAAGCATTTGATGAAGAGGGCTGTACGAAACATCCTGGCAAAAATGCCCCAGATATCCACAATTAATTTTTTGAAGTGGAGATTATTCACCTCCCAGGGACTTTTATGAACAGCTCTTTCAGTTGGCTTTGGCACATGAGATATGCCAAATCATTTAGTTTTTTTCAATGCAGCTTCAAAATTTATAGGAAAAAGACTTCAAAATAAACTCTTGCTTTAACCTGTATAAGTGCACTGTCTATTGGTGAAGCCTTTGGCTTTCTGAGCTGTGAAGATGAGAACTTAAAACATTACAACAAAGATATACCTCTTTTTGGTAAGGAAAAAAAACCCTGATTAAGTAGGAATCATCATGGCCTGATTAGTGATTTAAGTTGTTTCAAATCCAATAGAATCCTGGTCCTTTCTAAGGACGGTGGTATGAGATATTGCAGGAAAAGAATGAAAGAGAATAGTGCATGTTTCTATATTATTACAAGGATTAATAATAATCATTAGCACTTTACAAAATTACCTCATTTTATCCTAACAACAACCCTGGGAAGCCATTATTAACCCCATTTTACATATGAGGAAACTGAGGCAAAGAAAGGTTAAGTGACTTGACCAGGGTCACACAGCTAGCAAGTGCCTGAAGCTGGATTTGAATACAGGTCTTTCTAACTCCAGGTCAAGAGTTCTAGCCATAGCACCATCTAGCTTCCCTGACAACCTTGACAGGGAAGGGAGTAAGCATTTATTAAGTACCTGCCATGTACCAGGCACTTTATTAACCCTTTACAAATGTGATCTCATTTGATCCTCACAACAACCCTGGGAAGGAGGAGCCATTATTATACCCATTTGATAGATGAAGAAACTGAGACAGGTGGTGAAGTGACTTTCCCAGGGTCACTCCGCTAGGAAGTGTCTGAGGCCAGATTTGAACTCAGATCTTCCTGGGCCTGGAAGCAATCCACCAAGCCACCTAGCAGTTAGGTAGGTAGTGTGAGATTTTTATTATGCCCATTTTAGAGATGAGAAAACTCATCTCTAAAGACAGAAGAGTTTAAGCAACTTGTCCAAAGTCACACAGGTATCTGGTGGAAAAGGTCTACTTCTTAAGCCAAGATCTACAGAAAGGAAATCCATTGTACTTGTAGATATCCTGCACTGTCTCCTGAGGAGAACCTGGTTACACACTTGGGAGAAGAAGGGGAGATGCCACAGGAAATGACTCTGCCTGTGCTGAGCCTGGAGGAAGACTGAGGGCCTCTTGTCTTGTTCTGCCTGGCGCTTTGACCATCCCTGGCTCTTACCTCTCCTTCCTTGTTTTCTGACAGCCCAAACTTCTGCCAGAGACTATCTTCGAACTCCTTGTCGGTCCAGTAGAATAGGACCTCGGCCCCCTCCGTGGCCACCAGCACACACTTCATCTGGCAGGGAGAGAGAAAGGTCAGGATCTCGCCATGACTGCCCTCCTGGATAGCTCATGATGAGAGAGAGGGTCTAGTCACTTTGTGAAGGAGATCCCACACCAACCCCAGAGTAAAGAAAGCCATAAATATGGAGCACGAGAAAGAAAGGCTAGAGCCTAGGCCTCAGACTGCCCTCCAGAGAATCAGAGATTTCAAAACTGGAAGGGACTTGGAGAAATCACCCAGTCCATCCCTTGCCTCCAGGAAGTGCCAAATTTAAATGAAAATGGAGGGCAAGCAGGTGAGATTCTACAAATTCACTGAAATAATCCATGTTAGTGTCATCAGCTTGGGCTCTTATTTATCTTTGTAACCCGCCTCTTCTCCTAACACACCATTAGCATTCAGAAAGACCTTTTATAAAATAACATATAGAAAGGTAAAGAAGAAAAAAAAACTGAACTAAAATAATCCACAAGAAAATAAAAATCAGTTGCTCCAAATCAACCCATCTTTCCTAGAGCTGCCTAAATCATCTCCCAAATGCACAAGTCTGACCATGTCACTGCACTTCAAAATGTCAACGGCTCCCTATTGCCTGCTTTTTTACAAAACTGGACGAATGGTTTTATGACGGTAGTGATGAAATCGCAGCTCCTGCTCAGAAACTTCCTTTACCAGCAGCAATTGGCATGTGACAGACTTAAGAGTGCTGCCTCTCTGACAACACTGAGCAGGTAAATGCCTAATGTCTTGCCTAGGGTCACAGGTGGGATTTGGATCCAGATCTTCCTCCCTCTACAGTCAGCTCTCTGTGCACTCCTCTATGCTGTCCCACATGCCTAGAATACACCCCGTCTTTGCTTGAGAGCCCCTCACTTCCATCTTCTGCATGGAACCTCCCCGATCTCCCCCCTATCCTCCCAAACGACCCTGGACTGGGTAACCCTGCATATATCTGGTGTTTCTTCTCTTGATATTCAGGTTGCATGCATTGGTCCATGATATTCAGGTTGCATGCATTGGTCCACGTACTCGTCTCCCCAGCAGCTCCTGGTGAGGAGGGCTTATCCTCAGCCTAGCACACACAGTGCCTGGCACACAGTCAGCACGAAATCAACTTGTTAACCTGACACCGAAAGCTCACTAGAATCTGGCTCAATGCAATGTGACCTCAGGGATTCCTGGCAAAGTAAAGGTTGGGAGGGAGGGCTTCTTGGGCTCCTTCCCGCTGTGTCATTCTGGGCCATTCTTGTGTTCTTCCATACTATTATCCTACTTCCACCATAGGAAGGGACCTTGGAGGCCATCATGTCTAACCCCTTCATTTTACAGAAGAGGAAACTGAGGCACAGAAAGGTTAAGTGATTTGCCCAAGGTCAACCTGCTAATAAGAATATGAGGCAGGATTTAAACTCTTGTTTTTCTGACTCCAAACACAGTGTTCTGTCCACTGGGCCACCCTTTAGGCCATATTCTAGCCAAACTGGACTATCTCTTCCATACAGTATACATGCCATGTCCCACCTCCACCCTTTTGTGCAGTCCATCCCTGTATCAAGAATGTAATCTTCCTTCTCGTCACTGCCTTTCAGAATCTCCCTCTGCGTTTAAGGCTCAACTGAGACATACCTCCTTCATAAAGACTCCTTTGAACTTCCCCAGCTGCAACTGTTTTCTCTAACTTCAAATTTTACTAAAGCACTTGGTCTGGACTTCTCCTTGGCCCCTGTCTTATTATATTATTAATTATTATTATTATATACTCTGCCATGTATAATAATAATAGTTAATATTTATAAATATTCTCTCATTTAATCCCCACAACCCCAGAACGGAGGTGCTATTAACATCTCATTTTACAGATGGGACAACTGAGGACGACAGCACTTGAGTGACTTACCCAGGGTCACTCAGGTAGTAAGTGTCTCAGGCCGGTTTTGAACTCGGCTCTTCCCTGAATCCATGTCTGGCACTGTGTGCCACAAATGACAGTCACTCTGTGCCTTTGGAGATGGGTTTCATGAGTTGCTGTGGCCAAAACCCTCCCCCAACACATCACCTGGAAGCCAGTCTCCTGGTAATGTAATGAGCTGCTCTAAATATCTAGGTACCAGGGACAAGAGACATAGATTGGCCATGACCTGAAGGCTTGAGAATGAGGTTTTCCTCTGGGTGAGGAGGTGCTTCTGATGGACAAGGAAGCTAGCTTGGTTGCTCCTCATATCCCCAGCACAGTAAGAGCTCATTTCTCTAGGGCAGGATTTCAAAGTGGATGTCAACTTACCTTGAAGGGGATAGCAGCTGTCCTCTAGGGAGGAGGAAGTTCAGTAAACTGTTTAGACAGGCAGGGCAATCATCTCAGTCTGGTGGTGAAGGCCAGTTGCTGCAAACACATTGAACAATCACCTGATTAACCAATAAGCATTTTATTAAGTGCCTATCATTCTGTAGGCACTGTTTGAGGCACCGGGGATACAAAGACAAAAGGTCCTACCCTCCAGGAGCATACATAACACAAAAGAAAACCGGTATTGCATTCTCATTCTCCCTATTTTAGGCCTAAACAAAATGGAGCAGGGGCTGGAGAGGGTGCACAGACAAATGGGGCCTGTCAAGTATAGATTCTTATTGCCTCATCAATACTTCTGGACATACACATCCCAACTGAGTCTAGGCTGCTTGGGTTGGAGTTGGGGGAAGGGAGGGTTAACATACTTCCTATCATTAAAATTCATGAAGGTGCCAAATTCATGAGTAGCCCCAGAAAAGAGACCTTCCTTTTAGACTCCTGGCCTCTCCCTATCACCTTAATTTTTTTCTTACTTTGGGGATCCCATAATTTCATTGACATGGGAACTAACAATGTGCATCACAACCCCTCCACGTTTCTGGGATTCCCATCCCCAGCTCTTTGGTATCTCCTGTCTTCTAAAGACACTAAAGCCTTCTACCTTCCTCAGCCCTTACTACCTGAGCGAATCTGGGAAAGTCACTTAACTTCTGTTTCCTCACCTGTAAAACTGGGCTTTACAGACTGTAGTAAGATTCAAATGAGATAATATATGTAAAGTGCTTTGCAAACTTTAAAGTGCTATTTATCTACAACACGTCCCAAAACTCTTAGTGCAGTTTTAATAGGTTAAAATTTTGGAGGCACCTGATATGTATTAGCTACAAACTAATTAACTGATTAATTAGGAATGATGGACCAGAGAGCCCATTTTTATTTTCTGGATTGAGAGATCTGTGTTTTCTCTCCAATGCTTTTTATTCTCCTACAATGCATCCCTGAACGTTAGAGCTGAAAGGGACTTCAGAAACCATCTAGTTCAATCCCCTCTTATTTTATTTTCTAAAACCTTGTTATTTTTAAGAACAGGAAATGAGAGCCCTGGGAGGGGAAGTAAAATAGAACGATGGCCAGGCTGAAAGAAAAGCCAGGGACTCCCAAGTCAGTCTGTTACTATGAGGCAGGACTGCCTATTATTTAGATGACATCTGTTCTATGAATCATTTCAAACCATCAATCAGTCAGTCATTCACAGGGCCAAGCACCGTGCTAAGTGCTGGGGATGCAATGACCAAAAAGCGAACTGGTTCCTGCCCTCAAAGAGCATACGTTTTATCGGAGGAAATAATGTACATGTATAAGTGCATACAGAAGAAAGAGGAAATAAACACAAGGTGATTAGGAAGGGAAGCCGTTAGCGGTCTGCGGGACGATCAGAAAAGGCGGCCGCTACGGAACGTACAGAAAGGATGAAAGAGGTTCTGCAGTCGAGGGAAGCGAGGGGCCCGGACTGAACCCGGTCCGACTCTGGGCTCACCTCGGAACCCCGGCATCTGCACCCGAGCGCACGATTACCAAAGGGTTTTCGGACTGGAGCGCCCAGGGGAGGGGGACGGCTCCGGACACTCCCCCGGGGCGCCTAGCGGCCCCCTGCCCCTTTCCTCTCTCCCCAGGCCTTAGATCCCTGGCTCTGTCTGGGTCTCTCTACTTGCGCCCGCGGGCGCGCCTGCCTCGTTTGTGTCTGTGTGCGCGTGCGTCTGGTCCGCGCGCCTGTCTGTCCGTCCGCCCGCTCGGTGACCCCCGCCCCAGTTCAGGAGAAGGCCCTCGCGCAGCCCCCGCCCCTCCAGAAGAGCAGGAGAAAAGCGGGTTGGGGGGGGGAACGGGCAGACGTACCCTGACGCAGCCACCTCCGCGGCTCCTCCGGCCCAGCCAGGGCGGCTTCCGGCAGCGAGCACGTGACACTGGGGCGAGACACGTGACCTCTGCCCGCCCCGCCCCTCCCCTCCCCTCCCCTCCTCTGGCGTCTGAGGAGCACGCGCTGGGGGGGGCGGTGTAGAGGGGAGCACGCGCTAGGGGAGGAGTGGGCGGAGCATGCACTAGGGGTAAAAGGTGTGAAACGGTCTGGCTCGGGCTTAGCCGCTGATCTGCGCACAGCCCAGCGGGGCACGTGCCGTTATTATCACTCCCATTATACAGGTGAGGAAACTGAGGCAGAGAGGACTCGACCTGGCCAGGGTCACCCAGCTCTCGGCCTCTTACCGTTCCTCCTCTCAGGGAGTTTACAGTCTAAGGGGAGAGAGCTCATGTACATAATGAGTGAGATCAAAATAAGGTCATGGGGGTTGGGGGGAAGGAAGGCAGACGCTTAGTCGTCGGGGGGAGGGGTTAGGAGAGCCCTGGTGACGGGCTGGACTCTGAGCCCGGAAGACCGGGGTTCCAGTCCTGCTGGGTGGGTGCCCTTGCCTCAGTTTCCCCCTCTAAAATGAGGGGGCTGGACTGGATGGACCCCAAGCTTGCTTCCAGCTCTAAATAGGTGGAACGTTTCACCCAAGCTTTCAAGGAAAGTTCACAGAGCTAATAAGTGGCAGGCCCACAGGGAGCCACTTCTGGGGAGCAGTCGGCCAACATGTATTAAGCACCCACTGTGTGCAGGGCGGGGTGCTCAGCACAGGGATATAAAAAGGCGGAAGACAGCCCCTGCCCTCGAGGAGCTTACAGTCCAAGAGAGGACACCAACAGCAGGGCACAAGTGGGATCCGTAGACGACTGCCCAGAGAGGAGGCTGCCGAATTAGGGGCGATCAGCAAGTCTTCTCTGTAGGTGGGACTTGGGCTGGGACCCCAGGGGATCGCAGAGCTAGGGGGCATTGGCTGCAAAGAGGCGTGGACTTGGATGGTGCACGGTGGCCCGAGCCACGTGACCTCTGGCGGCTGAGGAGCACGCTGCGGGGGGGGGGGGGGGGGGCGGGGTGGCTGTTTGTGTTTGTGTTTTGTGTGTTGGCCTTCTTACCTGGGCAAAAGCGCTGGATTTGGAGCCAGAAGACCCGAGGTCACCTCGTGCCTGGGCTACTTATCACACATGGGACCTTGGACTTTTTCATCATTAAAAAGAGGGGCTTGGACCAGGACCCTGGGTTTCTACTGGCAGGAGCAAGTAGTGACCCACTGACTCCCACACTGACCCACCCCCCAGACCGTGTTCTACCAGTGTGATGTGTAAGTCACCTTCCCTGTGCCCCCCCCACCCCTTCCCCAGTCTGGCTCCATGAGAGGGACCAGGCGTGGGCAGAATTGTGAAGTGAATAGAGTGGCTTATCTTGTACTTCCTGCTGTGTCCTGCCTGTCCCATTGCCTTTGTCCTTGGCACTGCCTCTAATGTGATTCATTTAGATGCCTGTAATGAAATGTCAGAAAAATTATCCTTTTTTTCCCCCTACTTCCTCCCTTTCCTCATCAAAATAGGAATTTTCTTAGTCCTGATCAGTTGACGAAAAGTAGGCTAAGATGTGAATGATTAGTAATAGTTTAGTGAAAGAGTTCTTCAGCTTTTTTGGAGTCATGAACCCCTTTAGAAATCTGGTGTCCCTTCTCAGAATAGTTTTTTTAAAAAATCATAATAGAAGGAAATGCTAACTTTCAATTAGAGATTAGTGAAAATAAAGATGTAATTTTCCCCCCCATTCAAGTTCATGGACGCCCTGAAACCTAACCACAGACAAGGGACCCCAGATTGAGAACTCTGAGCTTAGTGTGTTTCTTTTTCTGCTATATTATACTTAATAATAACAATAATAATGATGACAGCAATCAATAACATTTATAAAGCACTTTATCAACATCTCATTTTATCCTCACAACAGCCCTGGGGTGTGGATGCTGTTGTTATGCCTATTTTACAGATGAAGTGGCTGAAGCAGACACAGGTTAAGTGACTTGCTCAGGACCACACAGCTAGTGTCTGAAGCCACTAGACTCCAGGTCTAGTGCTGTGATACCTCGTTGCCCTGCTACTTTACCTTGGGAGTATTGGGTGCTTTTCTAACTCAAAGAAATGAATCCTTAAGAGTGAAATTTCATTTTGTTTGGCAATGAAGTGAAGAATTTCAGGCAGAATAGGAGAGAGATTTGGGGCTGAAGAAGCCTTTTTCCATGTCCTTTAACTCATACCCTGGAGGCAGTCCCTTGACTGGACAGCTATGTATAACCTGAGGCCTGTTTCCCTGTACCCTCATCACTGCCTTTGTGGACAGTAGCGATCAGGACCACTGGGTAAGAAACCTAAATTTCTGGACCCCAGAAGTCAAAAGACTAGGAGAGTTGTATTGATTCCATTATGAAATGAAAAGCATAGTTCATATTTTCCAAAATTTTCCTGGTCGGTTGCATCTGTCTCTCTTCAGCCTGGTGAGTATGCTGGGTTTCCTGGTGCATCATCTGTAAGGTGGATAGTTGGATGGGACTTGGGTTTGTCAGTGCACCCCCCTCTCCACCCCGATGTGTATCTCTGTGGCACGTAGAAGACATGTGACACGTGGCAATGGCTACTGCAGAACAGGTAGCACTTTCTACTCACCCACCCAGAGCCAACCAGGAATGGTACCTGATGCAGCTGTTCCTACAAACTCACTCCAGCTGGTTGGTCACGTAGGCACCAGATGTGTTCTCCAGATGTTCCAATCACAGAGGACACCCCAGCTGTTTCCGTCACACTCTCAAGTTCCATTCTTCATACTCACGCTTCTTGGATGGTTGAAATGCTTAGTTAGCTCCAACCAGGGAGGGTCTTAGAAAATCTGGCATGCAGATGGTGTTTGCATAATGCATTTCTTTTTGCTAGCTAGTTATGTTTTCCTTTTAGTAGAATCTATTTTTTTTTTATATTAGAGGCTCTGCTAAATAGAAGTCTTAGATTGGAGAGCCCAATTTTTCACATTCCCTAGCTCTGCTTTAGATTTTTGTCCTGAATTTGACCATTTTATGAGAAGACTTCCAAAGCTGTACCCTTCAGACCTTCTCCGTCTGGCCCCTTTGATCTTCGGTATTCTTGCTGTGATGTGGAATTTTGCCTCTTCTTTGACTCTTCTCATGATCATTCACTTTGTGATACTCGAGAGTGTTAGGGGATTTAGAGCTAGAAGGGTTAGAAGGGTCCAGTAGTAGTGGGAAGAGAAGCAGGTAAGTTTTTCTCTGTGACCAAGGGAGGAAAAAAAAGAAAGGGAATGAAACAAGGAACTTGTGACTAAAACTTTTTTCTTCAAGGATTTATTGAAGCTGGAAGTTCTGGCCTCCTTATCTCCTTCTACTCCATCCTGAGCCCCTGACTCACATTGTTCTATGGGAAATGCAATCCAGATGCAAACTTTTCCATCTTAATTGGAGGATGTCTGAAAATTGTAGACTGCCTGTACCCCTGCCCCTGTGAATTAAGGTAATAAGACTTGTTCTCCAGAATGCCACTAGTTCAGAGGACCTTTGAGTGTTTAGTTTTTTTCCAGGAGCTGGAAGGCTTAAGGTAGTAAAGATGGATTGCATATGGCTAATTATTCATTGTGCTGTAGCCTGACTTTGTTGGACCAGCTTGGCTCCCTTATACCATGCCTTCAGTCCTTAGTCTCAAGTTCCGCTTTAATTCTTTGACCTTATGGGAAGACTCGATTCAACTCTCAGGGCTCTGATTGATCTCATAGCCTCACTGACATGCCCAAGTTAGAAGGAGACCTGGTGGAACTGACCCTCTGTGATTTTGTCATTCCCATCACAGAAGGGCAGATATGGGGAACACGTGCCATAAAAGGCTTAAACCTTGTGGACGCACGAAGAGTGAATCAGGTAATCAAAAGCTTTCATTAAATGCCTAATAGATCCCAGGCACCATACTGGGCACTGGGGAGATAATAAAGAGTGACATCATCTCTGCTTCCAGGGAGCTTATGTTGTATCAGGGGAGACAGCATATGCAGATATGTCTAGATAGAATAAGTACAAAATAAATAAAGATAAAGAATGGGGGTTCTTGCTGTTGGGAGGATCATAAAAGGCTTCATGTAGACCTTTGTCAGTATTAGGGTAGTTGAAGGAAAAAAATTATATGTATGTATAAATAGATAGATAGATAGAGGGCACAGGGTGAGTTGAAGATTAAGGGGTCATATCTGGAGAATAAAATTAAGGGATGAGAGAGGATGATACTCAGAGAAGAAGAAAGGGAGAAGGTAGAATGGGGTAAATTATCTCACCAAAAAAAAAAAAACAGAAAGGAAAAGTCTCTTACAGTGGAGGGGAAGCAGGGGAAGGTGAGAGGGAGTGAGTGAATCTTATTCTCATAGGATTTGGCTTAAGGAGGGAATAACATACACATTAAATTGGGTATGGAAATGTCTTACCCTACAGGAAAATAGGGGGAGAAGGGGACAAGAGTGCAGGGGGATGATAGAGAGGAGGGCAGATTGGGAAAGGGGGTAATCAGAAGGAAATACTTCTGAGGAGGGACAGGGTTGAAAGAAAGAATAGAATAGATGGGAGGGCAGGATAGGATTAAGGGAAATAGAGTTAGTTTTTCACAACATGTCTACTATAGAAGTGTTTTGCATAACTGCACGTGTACAACCTATATTGAGTTGCTTGCCTTTTCAATGAGGGTGGGTGGGGAGGGAGGAAGGGAGAAAATTTGAAACCTAAAGTTTTAAAAACATATGTTTAAAAAAGATGTTTTCACATGCTACTGGGAAATAAGAAATACAGCAGAGGGGGTATAGAAGTCTATCCTGCCCTACAGGAAAATAGAAGGGGAAGGGGATAAGAGAAGGGGGGTGAACAAAAAAGAAAAGGCTTCATGTAGAAGGGGGCGCTTGAGGTTTCTATGAAGTGGGTGTGAGGAGGGAAGGCCAGGGCTAGGACACAGGTGGAGATGGGCTGCCACATGTGGGCCAGTTTGACAGAATTGTAGAGCATGGGAAGGGGTTTAAGAGCTGAACAGAGGAGTTGATATTTTAGCCAGAAGGCTATACTTGTGTGACTAGTCCTAGAGTGGCATGGTCAAACTGTGTTTTTTGGCAGTTGTGGGGAGTGAGGAGAAGCCAGAGGCAGGGAAACTAAGGAGGAGGCCATTGTGAGAGCCAAGGCAGGAGGTGATGAGGACTCGAGCTGTGGTAGTGGCTGAGTGAGTAGAGAGGCAGCAGTGACAGAAAGGGCAGATTTATCCATTGATTGGCTGTGTGGGCAGAGGGACATTGATGAGATAAGCACCGTGCTGAAGTTAGAAATGTGGAAGCCTGTGAGAATGGTGCTGTCCTCGGTAGCAATGGAGACACAAAGTCAAGGGATGGGTTTAGGGGGGGGGAAGAGAACAAGTTATGTTTTGGGCTTGTTGCGCTTGACGTCTCCAGGACATGCAGTTTGAAATGTCCAATGGGCAGCTGGTGTTGTGGAATTGGAGTTCGGGAAAGAGACTGGGACCTCCTGGAGAGAACTGATTGTTAAATTTTCAGTGGGAGCATTTGTACCTTGGAAAGTGGGAAACGCTACAGATCAGGGCTTACTTGTTGTTTTGTTGATTGTCTAGACTTAAGAGAGTAAAAGGAGAAAAGGTTAATAATGAGATTAAGCCTAAAAAATGTGTTGTGCCTACTCCCCCCTCCCCCCAAAGAGCCAGTTGTTACACATTTACCAATACACCCTTGGATGGACTACAGATCTGGGAGTCATCAGCAGAGAGATCATAAATAAACTTATGGAAGCTGATGAGGTCATAAAGAGAGGACAGAGAGAAGACAGATTGGCCCAGGACAGAACCTCGGGGGTGCACTCACAGTCAGGGGGCATGCAATGGATGATGAGTCAATAAAGGAGACTAAAGGTGGCTCGTAGGTAGAAGAAGAACTAGGCGAAGGAAATGTCACCAAATCCAGAGAAGATGGATTTTACAGGAGGAGAGAGTGGACAACAGTGGCAGGTGCAGCAGAGGGGTTAGGAAGGATGAGGACAGAGAAAACACTATCAGATTTGGGACTTAAGAGATTGTTGAAAACCTGGGGGGAGAGCAGTTTTATTTGAATAATGAAATTGTGAGGCAGATTGCACAGGGTTAAGTGAACAAGAATTCCTTCTCTAACTTGAAGGCCTCTGGTCCTCTCCACTGTGACTAGTGGTCCTGTTCATTCTTGTTAACAGCATCATTGTTATTACTAACAACACATGGGAAAAAAAATGGTCACATTCAAGCAAAAAGTAATTAATTTTTTTAAAAGAAAAATATAAAATGTCAACTAACTTTTTTTTTTTTTAATTAAGGACAGGGAGCTTAGAATCATAGAATACTAGTGTGTGGAAAGGACCTTAGAGATTGCCTTGTGCAAGCCTTAGGTTATTGATGAGAAAACTGAAAGCCAGATAAATGAAAGACACAAAACTTTATTCAATAAATACAACTAAAACAAACTAAATTTAGTTCTATATAATGACCAGTTAAGGGACAGAGTCAGAGAGAAGAAAGGGGAAAGATAGGAAAAAGAAGAAAAAAAGGAAAGATGGTGAGAAAGTTAGAAAATTGGAATAAAAGGTGAAGAGAAAAAGACAAGCTGGAGGGAGGGTGAAATAGAGAATATCACTAGCTTGACCTCAAAATACCACTGTTAGGTCTGTTTCCAAAGATGATTAGGGAAAAAGGAAAAGAACCTAAAATATTTATAGCAGCTGTCTTTGTGGTAGCAAAGAACTGGAAATTGTGAGGATGCCTGTCAGTCGGGGAATGGCTGAAAGAGTTGTGGTATGTCATCATGATGGAATACTGCTGTGTTATAAGAATTGATGAGCTTGATGATTTTAGAAAAAAAATGGATAGACTTGCACAAAATAATGAAGAGTGAAATGAGCAGAAGCAAGAGAACGTTGTATACAGTAACAACAATATTGTTTTAAGAATAACTTTGAGTGAAAAAGTCATCTATTATGAATATCCAAATTAACTATAAAGAATACATAAAGGAAGATGCTATCTGCATCCAGAGAAGTAACTGATAAATAGAAGTATGTTTAGAATGATTTTACATATATATACATACGTGTGTCTAATGTAACCAACTCTAGGGCTGGGGGCGGGCTGAGGGAAGAAAAAAGAAATTTACATGATAACTTTATTATATATTTAAAAGGAATAGCAAGTTGTACATTATAAATTTGCATTTTCATATGCAATCATCTTTTTTCTACTATGTTATGGAAATGCTTGTTTTATTTCATAAATTAAAAATAAAATAAATTTAAAAACCAATGTCAGTAGCAGCCTCTGCTATGAACGTGTAGGAGGCAAGCTGCTGCAGTGCTCTGCTGTTCACTTGGGTTGTGGGCACTGAAGGAAGTTAGTCCTTTCTGTGTTTTAAAATTCGAATTACTTCAGCTGAAGTTTGGAGATGGTCTTTTCGTATTGGGAAGTATAAATGCTCGAGTGGAGCCATAGGGGAGTTGGTAAAGTGGGATATGTGCTGGTCTTGGAGTCTGAGCACCATTGCTCAAAGCCTGGGTCTACTACTTACTAGCTGTATGACTTTGGGCAAGTCACCTACCTTCTCTGAATCTCGGTCTCATCATCTGTAAAATGACAGGGCTGGATTAGATTATCTTCTAGGTCTCTAAACCATTTAAATTATTTCTTTGTTTCATGGGTTACAATGGCAAAAAAAAAATCATTTCCAGGTGGCCAGCCTACTAAAGACAGGCCTTTCCATGAGTAGCTAGGTTGGTTCTCAGAAAACAGGGTAAGTTTGTCACCAGGGTTGTATTCAAAACCTTTACAATACAGTGGAAGCTTTCAGAGCTTATGCTCCTGTGGCATAGCTTAGGAGAACCCAGGGTCACCTCCATGCCTTCAGGAAGCATTGAAGCTCTATGGAACAAATTATATAGAGTAGGGAAATAAATGAAGATGGAAAATTCTCCTTCTTAAGGTCTGTGCATAGTTTTATTTTCTAGTGTGAGGTCTGGCTGGTTTGGTGCAGGCTTCTTTAAACGTATGGGCGACTCTAGCCACATAGGCTGTCTGGGTCAGCCTCTGGGTAGCACATGATCCAGGCCCTTCCCTCCCTGTCTAGTGCCCACTGAAGAGCTCCTCCTTATGGTGACTTTAATGTTCCCTCTGTCCACTAGAGGGCACTCAAAGCCAAAGTGGTCCTCAATGGCCGCCAGAACTACTTCTGCCTTTTGCTTTCCGGTACAAAAGTAGCATTTACCCCTTGCGCATGCTACTTCCTCCTGATTTCTAATTTACCATATGAAGAATTAAACATAAAATTGCTAGTTTTCTTGGCTCTGCCCCCATCCCTTGGGATAATTCACTCTGTAAGCTTCTACCTTCTGTATCCAATAGATTTAGACACATAGCCTATTGCTGTTTTAATATACATGAAATGATTGTACAAATAAAACCAACTCCCCTATATCCCATTGAAATATATAACTATATATATATATATATATATAGATATAGATATAGATATATCTATATCTATATATCTATATATCTATATATATCTATATCTATCTATCTATCTATCTATCTATCTATCTATCTATCTATCTATCTATCTATCTATCTCACATCTTTCCTTTCCTATTCTCCATTGGCTCTTCTGTCCTAGGAAATTCCCTAGGCATTCCTGTAGCTCAAAGAGTACAGATAGGGCAAGAAGAACTCTTCCAATGTTTTTCAATGACCAAAGAATATAATGAATCCAAGAATCTCATTGGCTCAGCCAGTCAGATCACTAAGCAAGACTGAAATGAGCTTGCGCTCTATAGGAGGCTCTGAGTGATAGCTGATCATAGTATGATCTTCTTTAGCAGCTAGTCTTGGCTCCACATGGTGACTGCAGATGTTTCTCCTTCCTGCTGTGTAGACAGAATCTCAGCTCTAAAGGTGGAATCTCCATGCTGCCTGTACGTCCCCAAAGAAGCTATAAATTATAGCCAACCTTTTTTTTGGTTATGTTCTTGCTTCAGAGGGAATTAAGATAACCTCCCAGGTAGTTCCTTTATGGTAGGAAAGGGCCTAGAATCGTCTCTGCTTTGCTTTCCCTCTTAAGTATCCAGGCTGGTGGGAAACTCAAAAAGTACAGAGAATGAAATAAAAATTTCCAGAGGTTACTACAGTTATCTTCATGTAAAAATACTCTTTGGACTATAAGTCACATGAAGGAAGAAATCACATCTTAGCTTTGTTATCTCCCCCAGTGCTTAGCAGAGTCATCCTCTGTAAATAGTAGATGCCTAATAAGTATTTGTTGAAACATTTGTCAAAAAACTTTGAAACTTGATTTTAACAATGCAGTATATTACAAAATAAATAACACATGCAGTCTGTCACAAGATAACCAATACTATACAAAGGAGAATTTTCTGGCATTAAAATGCTTATTTGTAACAAATAGTATTAAACATATTTTTTATTGCACGTCCCTGTCCTATGTGTGGCACTCTGGGACTGCCTAGCTTGTCTACCCTTAGTGATGATTTTGTGTAAATTCATAGTATTTGGTGAGAATTTTTTTTAATGGAGAAAAAGAACCTTTCAATAATAACTACTAGTTTAATAAGCTTTTCAGGAATAACTAATTAGAGTACCTGTTCACAGTTCTTCAGTAATTCTTAAATTGCCAGAGACTTAGATGATTGATGGCAACAGTGTACCAGGGAAATGTTATACTTTGTAATACATTGCTAAGACAATACATTTCTTTCCTTTAAGTTTTTTTCAATTACATGTAAAAACAATTTTTAGCATTCATTTTAAAAAATTTTGAGTTCTAAACTCTCTCCCTCCTTCTTTCCCCTCTCCCCTCCTTGAGAAGGCAAGCAATTTGCTTATAGATTATATGCATACAGTCATGTAAAACATTTCCATATTAGCCATATAGAACAGTACATTTCAAAAGATACTCATGTATATGTTTACTCTATTGTGTACATCTCTCTCGTCTCTACTGATGCAAGCTGCAAGCTGCAACCCCTCCAAATCTCAGTAATAGATTTCATCAGTTTTTTTGTGGCCAAAAAAATCCATCACCTTGTGGCTAATCTTCTGGTGATAAGCTTCTCCAAACTTACCTAACATCTAGGTATTCCCTAGTTTTAAGTAAAATTTACATCTCAGATAATTTTGCCTTAGTCAAGAATCTGAGGCAATTTTAATTTGACTACAAATCTGCTGGAAACTCCATTAACCTAGGACTGATTCCCCAGGGATTTCTGCACTCCACAGCGGCATATGCATCCCGGCAGGGCCCCACAATAGGACCACACTTCTCAGTAAATACAAGAACAGGACAAGCCAGTCCCGAGCCAACGACCACAGGATCTGCCTAGAACAGACCATATATTACTCACCCCACCGGAAAAAAGACACACATAGACAGCAGGTCAGTGTTCCATGATGACAAGACCCTGTCAAGTATAGTTTCTCTCAAATGTCCATAGTAACAATACTTTAAGAAAACTACAGTATGCTTGGTGTGGTCATAGAGTGACAGCCAACAATGGTTGAGGCTCACATGCTGGCTTTTACAGGCAGATCTCTATTTAATAGCTATTGGTGATGGATTCTTAACACAAAAAGATATTTTCACATGGGGGATCTGTGTCAGGAGTTGTGGAGTCTGTGGAGTTGTGGTAGGAATTCTTGGACAGGCTTTCTCTGTTCCTGGTCAAGATCTTCAAAAACTTGCCACCTAAAGAGAGTATTTGTATTGTATGTAAAAGACGGTCCATTATTAGTGTGATAGTCTTTTTAGTGCAGAATACTAAATGGTTATCTGTTGATGTGAGGTTCCCTATACATCACTTAGGAAAAATCACTTAACACACTTGGAGGAATTGGGCTTGTTCTGACTTTTCCAATATAGCGCATAATTTCTTTTAGACCCAAACTATTAACTTCTGGACATTGGGCCTGTGAGCCTGAACTAATTTGCTTTATTTATTGCTAATTTGTTTTCCTGCTATGACGAATCCAGTTCACTATCCGGGGGTGCACGCTTGGATGGATTCAAGATGGCAAGGAGGCCCTGGCATTGTCTCTTCTGGAGTCTGCGGCTTTGAACTTGCTTTGACTTTCAGGCCCCAGGACTCTGTCATCACTTGAACAGGCTGATTCTTCTTGATGTTCTCTGTGCCTGGTTTGTGGACTGCCAGTGAATTTGTAGTCAGACCCTCTTGCATTCTCCTCCCCTCTCCCCCCTTCCCCAAGTAGCATACCTTTTAGCACAAACCAAGCTGTTTCCTTTAAAGGTCTGGAGTAAAAGTGAACCCTGAGAGGTGGAGGCGTTAGGGTTTGCAGCCTCGGACAGCTGGAATAGGTTACCTGGTTCACTGACTCAGGCGCCAGTGTTGTCTGGTTTCAAACTCTTCTGATCTTCTACCTTGAGGAGCCTCATCAGGGGAAAGGAACCCAGCACAACGTTGTCTCTTAGGTTACACCAAATGTTCTGTGTTGTGCTATTTCTATGGGATGATGTTGGCTTCAGTCATGTGGGCTGATGACTGCCTTGGGGGCTTCTCACAAAAACCAGATGCCTATCTTACCAGGCCATGATCCAGAGTAGAAAAAACGTCAGTCAACAGAAACTTGTATGTATAACACCCGGATTAGTGTCAGTTACAGCTAGAGCTCAGCTAATAAGGAACAGTTAGAATAACCCAGGTGTGCTTGTTAATAAATGTTTTGAGTGACATTCTATTTTGGTGTACAGGACAATAATTCCATGTTCTTGTCTTGAATTTCTGCTACGCTAGTTTCATCTATGAAAGACAGTTCTATTTCTATAAAAAACAGAGTATAAGTAACTTTGGGTCTGGTTAAAGTATTTGATCTATAGTAGGTCTGACTGGAAGAAGCTAGTGGCAGTAAAGAATCTCGTTCTTGCCAGGGGGTGTCCACTCTACTTAATATCAAGAGCAAATTCCATTATGAAAATTCCACCTCCTGAGAAAAATTCCATTACACCTTGATTAAGCTGGATGTAGAAATAGGTTTATGTTAGTTTTTACAGTGATGTTTCCAGAACTATGTTGTCTTTGTATAGAAACAGTATGAAACAACCTGAATAGAGAATTTGAAGGATAACTTTGAAATCCTGAGTGGATGGATCATGTGGTTAAGAGATAGTGTTAAGGACAGAGGACCTCCTGGCTCTTTAGGCTGTGCTTCATTGGGTGGTAGACTTTGGTTAGGGCACATCAAATTCTCTCTAGTTCTTAGTTTTATAGATTCAATTTCTAGGGGCCACATTTGGAATAACCAGACTCAGAATATTATTAGACAATGGGGAAGATCAAGAATAAAGGTTTTTTTTTAAAGGTGATTTGAATATGCCTTGTCAAATTGAAGGCATCCTCCTAACAATTCAATTAATTAATAATCAACTTTAGGATCCTCACTTCTCAAAATTGTTTCCATACAGTGTGGTCAGCAACCAATGACCAGTAAATTTGACTTCCCCCTACACTTGTGGCAAGACCCCACATCATCATTGTGGAGACTATCAAATTAAAAAATCAACAGCTTGCTTACCTTAGTAAACCATGTGTTAAGTATATCACGTAGTAACACATCTTAAGATTGAGGAAGGCATAAATAAAAGTCCTCATATATGGCCTCAATACATGTTTCCGCACAAAATGCTCAGAGGACAGAAAGTTGAATATTCCATTTTTATTACTTCCAAAATATGACTTCAAAATATAAAATACCTCATGGACCCAAATTCTTTGCAGTCATCAGACTCATATAATCCTTAATAAAATCTGTTTTCTGGAAGAAAATATTAACACCTGTAAAATCCCCCTCACATTGAAGAGACTTCCTATGGGAGGTATCACTTGGACTCACTCCTTTTGCCAAATTCCAGACTAATAGAACTTTGAAAGTTTATTTTTGCTTCTTCTGAAAATATAATTTAATACACAACATTTACAACATGAAAACCAGAAATACTTCCACTATAATAATTATAATATTAGTGATGTAAGGAAGTAAGGAAGGCTTGGGCTGACTGGGGTTTGGATTAGTAGACCCCCTTTCCTCTTCTAAATCACTAGAACTATGGACTGAGTATAAACCCCATGGGGGCTTGGTAAACCTTAAAACTTCAGGTCACCAGTATGGTTTCCCAGCAATTTCTCCTCCGTATAGGGAGGAGGAAGTGCTATAAACTCATATCAGGTATGCTGAAACCCTTTTTCAGTCCTCATACACATGGATCATCCTTCTTTCACTGATAGTGACATTTTGAACCAAAGTGGAACTAATATGGCTATTTAGGTTTGGCTTGTTTTTTGGGTCTGTGTTCAAATCCTTGTTCTGCTATTTGCTACTCATGTGACCTTGTTCACTTAACCTATTTAAGAATCAGTTTCCTCATTTATAAAATTATGGGACTGAAGAAGAAATAGCTAATATCACTTCCAGCTCTAAATCTTTGATACTATGATCCTTTGCCTAGAAGCAGCTAAGTAATACAGTGGATCAAGTGCTAGTGTGACCCTGGGCAAATTACTTAATCTGTTTGCCTCAGTTTCCTCAATTGTAAAATGGGCATGATAACAGCACCTACCTCCCAAGGTTGTTGTGAAAATTAAATGGGTTATTTGTAAAGCACTTAACACAGTACCTGGCACATCATAGGCACTTAATAAATGATTTTCTTCCTGTCTTCCTTGGTGTTAAATGGCATTTGCAAGTTTTTGGTACTGTCCTTTTCTTCTCAAGCTTGCTTATTCCTTTCTTGTCCCAAAACAAACAAAAACCTTGTTAAGCCCAGTCACCTAATAATAAACTGTCAACAAATAAGGCAGCAGGAGAAGCATTCTTGCATGGAAATAGAAAGCAAATAGTATGACATGGCTAGGGCTACCATTTACTAACCATTACCTAGGGGTGTCACAAAATTTAATTATTATCACCTTGGTGCTGATTTGAAATACTTATGAGGAAACACTACTTAGGACTAACCTAAGGAGACAGGAGCAGATGTCTCTATTTATGACAGAAGTATTAGAATCTTTCATAAGCATTTCAGAATTCTTCTAAGCACTGACAATATTCTAATTTGTATTATGTATAACTCCCTTTCTGCAGTATAAACTCGTTGAGGGAAGAATCATAGCATGGGGATCATAGAAAGGGGACTGACTCAGGAGTCACAATACCTGGGTTGTAGTCTTAGCTCTGCCTCTTACCAGTAGTGTGACCTTGCACAAATCACTTGACCTCTTTGAGACTTAGCTTCCTCAGCTATAAAATGATGATAGTAACATTTGATCCATCTAGCCCTATGGGCTTTTGTGAGGAGAAGTTTTATAAGGGATTAAGCCTTAGGTCAGTGAGCTATTACTTTGTTTACCCTCACTCCAAACATGTGGCCCACAACCATTAGTGCCTCTTGATTCTGAGTGTCACTTGTCTGGGTCTTCCTGTACCTCCTCCATGAGAGGCCCATCCAAGGCCAAGGGGGCTTTCTCTGAATTCCTTGATAAGACTGAGATACTAATTGCTTATTCTCCCCCTCACTATGTGGTAAGTCCCTATTATTTTCTTTCCAAGTCATACAACTTTCTGATGTTAACCCTACAGATAGTAGCTGCTTAATTGTCTGAACTGGATGGAATGTCATTCTTTTTCTTCTTGTTTTAAAGGGGACATTGCAGACCCAGCCACAATATTTGAAAACATACTGGCTATTTTGCATTTTGGAGCAGTGAGATACAAAATGAACCTCAGTTACAAGGAGATGCCAGTGCTTTGCTTCATCTGAAAGAAGAGATCAGGTAGTGGTAACAGGTATGCTGTGGATAAAGCTCAAGCCTCAAGCTTCAACTGCTCTTCACTCTCTTAATGTTCTAATGGTGATCTACTAGCGTTTAAATTAGGGGAGAGTAGACCCTGGGATGATATCTGGAATCTAAGAACATTGATGCTCTTCACTTACTGGTCATAAAATCTTAGGCTAGTGATTTATATTAAAAATGAAAACACAAACTAATCTTGTAGGAGAGTTTATTATTGAGGCAATGTGGCATAGTGGAAGGAATGTTTGACCTAAAAGTCAAGATAAAACTTATCATTATGGCTCACTCACAGGCTGTATGACCATGGCCAAGTTATTTGACTTCTCTGAGTTCACTTACATCTGTAAAATGGGTATGGAAATGTTTGTACTACTCATCTCACAGGATTCTTATGGGGAAAAAAGGCTTTGTAAACCTTAAGATGCTATACGAGAAGTGATTTATTATTATGCATCAGGGAGGCTCATTGACAGAGCCAGAAGAGATCTAACAGTAACTTTAACAATAGGATATATTTGTACTGTTTTTAGGGGGTAGTTGGTAAATGGCTGTATTAATAATACATATGGTAGTGATTCTAAATGGCCATCTTGTTTGTTTCTCCTTGGGTTTTAGAAAACAATCAAATTCCTCATTTGAGAGGTACCTTTCATGGAAAATAATCATAGAATCCTGAAGTTGAAGGGATAGCATCAGACCCTCTGCTCAACTCTATTCAAAGCAGGAGTTTCTTTGGTGACACCCGTAACAAGTCCAGTCTTTTTTTTGAACACTTAATATTAATGCTTCTACTATTAAAAGAAAAGTTGTGATAGCCTAAGAAATCATAAACAAATTCTTACAATAACTCACATTTTTATGGTGCTTTTACACTTTACAAAGTGCTTTCCTCATAACAACCCTGAGAAGTAAGTAGTGCAAATATTATTTATCCCCATTTTACAAATAAGGCAACTGAGGGTCAGAGACGTGAAATGACTTGTCCAGGGTCACATGACTAGTAAGCCAGGGTTTAAATCCTGGTCTCCTATGACTCCACAAAAAAGCCAACTCAACAAAGCATACATCCATCTTTAAGGGGGAGGGTTGGTGGGTGCAGGGACTAGGGGAAGGCAGAGATAAATACCTGCAGAGGTGGGCTGGTGGAATTTGAAAGAAAGTTATGATTGCTTGGAAAAGAATTGTTAAAGTATGTATTAGAACAGTTGGTGGAGTGGAGGAGAACTGAGGTGCTAGTTGAAGGCAGTTCGAAAAAGCTGTTATTATGTAAAAAGTACATAGTCCTGATTTTGAGTTTCTATTTTCACTTTATCTTTGGGGGAGGGGGGCTTTTGAATGACATTTCAAGTATCTCAATGGTCCTTTTGTAGATCCACTGTCTCCCTTCCATTCTGTTCTCTTCAGAAATTAAACAATTGCCCTTTTCTAATAAAAGACTGAAGAATTTACTTCCTCCATCAATAAACTTTCAAGGTGAAGCCAAGGGTAGTCTCAACACAAACAAAGTGGATTCTTAGTGCCTAATGACATAACATATTTATACCTACATTTTTATTTATGTATCTGACACATAATCCTTGGTGATTACTAGGTAAATGTAAATATGAATATGAATGACTAGGTTCTCAAACCTATAGATACCAATGCTTAGAATTTGCAGCATCTCTCAGTATGCCCCCTTCCCTCCTCTGACCCTGCCACAACTCTACTGCAGGCCCTCATCATGTCTCCCCTAGTGTCTCCCACTCCAATTTATCTTCATTCAGTGACCAAAGTGATTTTCCTATAGTGCAGGTCCAATCATGTCACCCCTCTTACTCGAAAAATCCAGTGGCTCTGTTGCTGTGTTTGGCATTCAGACCCTTCATACCCTACCCTGCTCCCTCCACTGTCTTCTTACAATTTACTTTGATCCAGTGACACAGCCTCCTGACCCTCCCACAAATAAGACCTTGGCTCTAGTTATTCTGACTGCTCCTCAAGCTTGGAATATTCTCCCTCTGCTCTGACGACTGACCTCGCCGGCTTCCTTTACCACCCAACTAAGATCCCATCTTCTACAGGGAGCCTTAATCCCACTGCCTTCCTTCAGTCAATTATTTCCTATTTATCTCATTTAAAGCTTGCGTTATAGATCTGTTTGTTTGATTGTTGTCTCCCGCATGAGATTGGGAGCTCCCTAAGGTCAGGGACTGTGTTTTGCCTCTTTTTGTATCTCCAGCGCTTAGCATAGCATCTGGCACGTTAGTAAGTGCTTAATAAATGTTTATTGATGGAATGGAAGGGATCTTAGAGGTCATCTATGGTAAATCTCTATCCCATAGGAGTAGGTTCTACCCCATAGTCCCCAAGAGGTCTGCTGTTCCATAGTGAGACAGAGAGAGCTGGCAATTTTTATGTAGTTTTGGGATTCAGGTTGAAGGCCTGTATCTTCAAACAATCTCATTCCCACAGTAGGCTCTGGGGCTCTTGAGACCATGTGCCACAAGGGCCCACAATGAATTGGAATGGGAGAATAGTAGTTACAATTTTTAATGTACATCTTAGTTCTGGTATTTCAGTTCTTTTTGCCTCTGTCCCAGCTAATTCTTATCCTGGACAGTGGTAATGTTTTTTTTTTGTTTGTTTATTTGAAATGAATGAGAAATGCTGAGTACCCAAATGTTGGACTTGATCTCTAGAAAAATAGGAGAACCACTTCTCAGACGTATTCCCTCCATACTATTTAGGAGTGAAAAGGAAAAAGAAGACTGAAGGAACAGGAAACAACTCTGCAAAAATGTTCTAATTTTGTAATATTCATTTTTATCTTCTCAGTTAAGTATTTCCTCAAGACAATTTATTAAACTTGCTAAAAGTAATTAGTTGTTATTAACCCCCTTCCTGCCTTCTATGTAAGTTGTTTTGATGGAAACAGACTTGGGCAAGCATGCTGCTTAGTTCTTTTGTATTATGGTCTTTCCATGTGTCTCTGCCCTCTAGGTTGTACTGGAAGCATGCCTTGTGATACTTGCCATGAGTGGTTTTATTGTTACAATTGCCTTAAAAACACACTCATCTTAGGAACATCCCTTGGACAAAGGTCAAGGCAAGTTTCATTTACACTGAATTAGAATATAATATCTTTTTTTTTGACATTTTTCAAATTTGACATTTGTCAAATCAGATGACCACTTCTGGTGATTCATATGATAAACATTTACTTTTAGTATAAGGAAAAACTTTTATAATTAGAGCTATCCAAAAGTGAAATAGGATGGATATCCAGACTGGTAGTCTTTAAGCAGAGTCTGGATAACCACATGTTCCTATGTTGTGGTGGGGATTTTTTTTCTTTTGGGGAGTTGGGTTGGACTTCTAACTCTTAAATTCTGTTTATTTTATTGGAAATAGTGTGATAATGTTGTGTCCTCTGTTTGGCATTTAAAGCCCTTCATAATCTGGCACCAATTCACTTTCCTAGTCACACACACACAGACACACACACACACACAGACACACACACACACACACAGACACACATATTATACATGACTCCCCTTAATGCACACACCAGAATCCATTCAAACAGGCCTTCTTACTCTTGCTCATACACAGTACTCCATTTCCATTCTCAGTGCCTTTGTAATGGCTGTCCCCAATGAGTGGGATGCACTCCCTTGTTACCATCACAATTTCCTTCAAAGCTGAATTCAAGAACTCAAGTGAGGCTCTGCCTTTTACATGAGACCTTTTCTGATCTTCCCCAGCTACTAATGTCCTCCCCAACTCCTACCCCATCAACTTGTATCTCTTTTGTATATAACCTGTCTATGTACATACGTATTCATTCTCTTCTCAAGTAGAATGCTTCTTGAAGGAAGGGTCTGTTTCACTTTTGTCTTTGTATTCCTGGCACCTAGTAGTGTGTAAGCACCGTACCATTGTTTAGTGGTGGTTGGGTTTCTTTATCTTTATCCTCCAAGAAGCAAGGAATTATGCTAGCATTTGGGGCCCCCAAAGGAAAAATCCAGAAAGCCATGTAATCCTTTGTATTGAAAATGTACCATTCTCCAGCTCTGGAAGTATTTCTATGAAGGAAGGTGGGGAAGGAAGTGGTAGGCAGGAAGTGTCTCCTTTGTTCTGACTCTAGCTTACACTCCATTGCCTTCTGCATTTTATGCAGACCACATTACATGATTCACTGAATAAGTGCCTGACCTTTAGTGAATGAGTGTCTTCTATGAACTAGGGGATCTAGCTACATGGCCATTAACATAAATGAAGTATTTTAGGGGATCCTTAAAGGTTTCTGCTATAGAGTGGAAAGAACGCTGGCTTTGGAGAAGAACTATTAGCTCTGCCAGTTAGGAGCTGTGTGTCCTTGGGCAAATCCCTCCATCTCTCTGAACCTTAATTTCAACTTGGACTAGTTGATCTCTATGATCCCTTCCAGCTTGTCACTGTCTGTGAGGTAACGGAGTTGATACCATGACTTTTCATTGTCAGGGCCTGGAAGTTTTCTGAGGACTTTTTAAGTGCTCTCCTACAGAAATCACAAACTGGCTCCCTGGCTGCCTACACAAACTATCTGTTAGTAGCAGAATGTGCTACTTGAGTTTCTACATCAGTAAGATGATAAATCCTTGTACTACCTACTTCTTACAGGGTTGTTGAGAAGAGGGAGCTAAAGTACTTTGTAAACTTCAAAGTTCTATATCAATGTGAATTATTATTATCATTATTGTTATTATTGCTTTCCTTCCCCTCCCTTCCTTACATCTTCTTTCTGCTATTTATCTTTTCTCCCTTCCTTTTCACTTTCCTAATCTGCTAGTTGCTTTCTTTTCTTCCTGAAGTAGAAGGACTTTGCTCTACTCTAACATACCACAGAAAGTATCATAAAGAATGATCAAGGAGTCTTGTGCCCTCTGCTCTTTCTTTCTTTATTGTCTTAAGAAGGCAATCTGTTTGAACGGTTTCCATCTTCAGTCTCCAGCCTTAACTCCTTACCCTCTCTCCAGTCCCATAATTCTTGCTGTTGACATCTCCTATGGGATTCTACTAACATCTAAAACCAAAGCATGTAAAAAAAATCAAGCTCAAATGTTTTCTTAGGCTCCCATAATTGATTTACCACTCTCAGATTCTAATGAAAGCTTCACTGCTAATATTCAGTGGCCACACAATTCTCTATAATCAGAACATTTGCTTTACTCTATAACCAATGTCAGTGTGTCATGTTAGGTCTTCTGTTCTATTTCCCAGTCTGTCCCTTCTCACTGTTCTTAGTTACAAATTTAGTCCACATACCTAATGTGCCTAATCACCATTGTTGCAACAGCATTTTAACTAGTCTCCCATCATCTCAGCCTTTTTCCTTCTATTTTCTCCTATAAACAGCAGCAAAAATTATTTTCCATTTCAGTCATGTCACTTGATTGCTCTAAAGTCTACATTGACAATGACTTCTCAAGTAAAATGGAAATCCTAATCATGGAGCTATAAGGTCCCTCATGAATTGTTCCTAATTCCTCTAAAATGTGCTCAGTTTGCTGTATTCTGTGTGATACTTTTTATTCCCTAGCCAATCAAACTTGTTTAACAGCTCACCCTTCCAGCTTCCTCCCTGAGGCTTTGTACTTGTCATTTTCTTCATCTTCCATAAATGTCTTTTCTTTTCTGTGGTTTACTAGAACTTCCCTTCCTTCTCTCTAAAAACATTGCCTAAAGCCTTGTCTGCATGGCCAAGTTAGCTGAGCTGAGACTCAATGGATCTGGCCATTTTATATGGACCAAGAGGCAGCTCTGTTGTTTATTTTTCTACCACGTGGGAAGATGGTAAAAAAATATCAGATTGAGTTTTAACCTTCTGAGATAATTTTGATTTACTCCTTCCTTGAAGTTTTCCCTACTTAACATCACCTTGCTTAGCCCCACTCAACAAGTCTGCTGAGATCCTTCCCATCCTTCAAGACCCCCATTCCCCATCAAAACTTGGAGAAATCTCTCCCTCTTCCGTATCATGATTGTAAACTTTTTTATGGACTTAGAGCATTCTAAGTATCTGTGTCTCTGTCATTTGCCCTACTACACTATAGACTCCTGGAGGGTTGGGATCATTTCTTACATATATATCCTGATGTCTTAGACAGTACTATACACTTAGAGCTGATTAGATGTTGGTGAATTGGACTAAACCCTCCTCAGGGCTCATCTCTTTCTGATCAATTAATATTAACACTATATGTTTTGTTTTTGTTATTTGTGTTCTTGCCTATTTGAACTTAATATTAGTCATATTTCCCCATTGGCTTAAGAGCTACTTGCAGGAAGGAATGGTGATGTTTCTTTTCTTGATAATTCTCCATAGTACCGGATTCATTGCCCTCTCCTTGATATATGGTGTGCAAATAATATTCAACCTTGGGAGGAACTGGATTTAGGGTCAATATTTAAAAACTTGGGCTTAGCTACAGCTCTACATTTTAAGAGTATGGGCCCCAGAAATTGACCACATAAGTAATGTCAGTGTCACAGATGCATACACATATACATAGATATCAGTTGGAAAAAGCTTATCCACCATGCCCGGAACTGACTCCCTCAGCCTGTCACCTAAAGAAGGGAACAGTACATAGAAACCCAGAGCAGCAGCAGACAACAGCAAAAGGCGAGGTGCTTAGAATTAGCTGTGGGCTCCAGCAAGTCCTCTTTTCCCTTTCTTTTCTCTCATCCTGATAGGTAGCAACAGAAGTGTAAGGTTTTGCTGTCAGGTAGCTGGGTGGCCAGAACCACAGGAAGGCATTTATTTGGTGGCATTTCCCCTGGGAGGGTGAGTACCTGCTTATTTTTTGGGTGCAGATCCATCCATTCATCCATCCATCCACTCATACATACATATATATATATATATTTATGTATTTGTCTTTTGCAAGTATTTTATACGTATGTATGTATGCATACATTTTCACTCCATGGAACTTAGGATCTTCTTGGAAAGAAGGCCTACGCTGTGTCCAGCAGGACTTGGAAGCAGGGTCTGTTTTAGTCTGCTTTAAGAAGATATTTGTCAGTGAAAAAAGGATACTGTTAGGTCTGAAGAATTAAAACAGGTCCAGCAGGTCCATCAGTGGCACATGAATGTGAAGAAGGCCTACGCCTATCGATACCGGCAGGCCAGAGCATTGACGTTCTTGACTACATAAAAACCCATGGTTACTGGTGGGATAACCAGTGTGCGGCCAGCCCGAAGGGGTCGGGGCTTCAAGTCTGGCAGAGTTCCATCATCCACCATCATCAAAGGCTGACCATTTAGCTGCACTGACCTATAATGAGGAAATACAATAGATGGCTGATTATTGCACAGTAATCCAGGTAAACTGTTGAGCCTATTTGTTCCCAGACAACTTGATTTATTGTACTTCACACAGTGCTCTGTATATAGTGGCAATTAATGAATATTTGTTGAATGAACGATTCATTCAGTCAGAGGGGCTCTGTTTTGCCAATCTCATTGGGTAACCTAATACATTTTACAGATGAGAAAACAAAGTGACGTTTTTTCATGAGCTTTATTAAGAACCTATTTTGTATCAACCCCTGTGCTAGATACTGTGGGAAATATAAAGGTAAATGATATATCTTTTCTACCATAAAGGAATTTATAGATGGGAGACAAGACGAAGTATAAATATATACAATACAAAATAGAATGTGATTAGTATAGGGATGGTTATAAACAAAGTGCTAGGAGAAATCTGAGGCGGAGGAGACCACTTCTAGCTACAAGGATCAGGAAAAGCTTAATGGAGGAGAAGGGACTGGAAGTGGGCCTTGAAGGATTTCAGCAGGCAGAGATGGTGTGGAATGGGTGTGCTGAATGCATGCATATGAGTAGAGATTTAACTAAGAATTCTTTCCTGTGGGGCAAAAATGATGAGGTTGGACAGTGGTAGTGGTGCAAAGGACAGTCTATGTATAGATCTATAGATACAGTAATATTTTTATTTTTTGATATGTAACAACCTTTTTTTATTGAGAAATAATGATCGTAATTTGTAAGTGAAAGACCACAAACTTTTGTTTTCGTTTTTGGCTAGGCAGTGGGTTAAGTGACTTGCTCAGGGTCACACAGCTAGTAAGTGTTATGTGTCTGAGGCTGGATTTGAACTCAGGTCCTCCTGAATCCAGGGCCAGTGCTCTATCCACTGCGCCACCTAGCTGCCCCTGACCATAAACTTCTGACCAATAAAAAAAATGCTAATGGGTTGTTGAAGCTGGAAGAGATGTTAGCAGTGTATTCTTCATCTTCTAGAGAAGGAAACCAGGATTCCGAATGGTAGTGACTTATTTGTCCAAGCACACATAGCATGTTAGGAGTACAACCAAGACTAGATTTCAGGTCTCCTTTTATGTACTATATGTGCTTTTTGATACGGTAATAACAGGAGAGGTACTGGCCTGTCCCCCACATAGTTTGACTATAGCCCAAGGGAGATTTGTGGGAAGATGAGCCCTGGAGGCATTTTAGTGACAAGACCCTGGGGATGGTAGCAAAGGAGTGGAACTATGCTTCATGGTGTAGGCCTACAGAGGACTTCAAAGTACAGGGATTGACTACCAAAGGGAGGGATCATACCCCCTCCAATGTTGACACTCTGAGGTAAAGTTATGATTGCTTTACCCTAGCTCTGTATTTTCGGCATAGGTAAAAACATAAGGAAATGCACAGAAATGGAACATGATGGGATCAGTTCCAGGAACAGCAAGTAGTCTAGTTTGACAAGATCAGACCATACCACACATGTAAGGGATTACTATGAGATAAGGCTGGGCAGACAGGCTAGAGTTAGGGCTTTATCTGGCATATAATGGGGAACACTGGAAGGCTTTTTGTGTAGAAGAGTGGCATAATCAAATCTGTCCATTAAAAAGATTACTCTGGCAGAGTGATTTAGGAATCTAGTAAATAGACAGACTAGCTTTGGAAACAGTCATATCACTTCTTTAGAATTTATTCAACCAGGTATAATAGTTGATAACGGTTTTTATCGCTTTATCTAATGCAGAGCCAGTTTTACTATGTGTTCTGGTCAGTTTTTTTCCCTCCAGTAAGAAGGCAGTTGGTGATAATGTAGTCCCTGGAGAACGAAGTTTGTGAAGTTGTTAGTACTGATGAACTAGACTAAGGGGAAAAAGGTTTGGTAATTACTGGTAGAGTACCAACATGAACTATGGGGCTGAGGAAGTTCACCATGTTGGGTCTCTTTGGTAAATCACCATTTTTTACCTATCTCTCTATTGATGTAGCAGGTAGATGTTCCTGCCTCCCAGAAGTTTTGAGCAAAAGTAAACAGAGGGGAGAGACAAGTGGACCCATCCCCTTGTTGCTATGGTGATTGCAGAGAACAGCTATTGTTTCCAAGCTGCCACTTTTGGTGTGGCTACTATTGCACCAGTTGCCAGAGTTTATGCCTGCATTGATTGGGGCAGGGTATGAGAGCTGAGAACTATGCCTAGGGCAGAGATACAAGGTATCTACAAGGTCTACATAAGTTGGTGCTGTCAGGGTCTACAGCAGAGATGGATTTTGAGGCCCCCTATACTAGCAGCTTTTTAAAGTTGTATCAGCTGGATACAGAAGAGGACATACTCCTTACCTATAATATTTCTTTATTCCCAGTTGATATAGGCCCTTGACCCCTTAATAGAGGTCCTAGCCATACAACTCTTTTCCTCATCCATTCACTAAAGGTAAAGTGGGAAGGGCAGAGGGAAGAAGTTTCCGTTTTGGAAAATGTCTAAGGACAGTTCTGCTGTCCTATTTGTTCAAGACAATAAAATGTGTATTATAAATATAGAAGGCTGTAAATAAGGGGAGAACCCAAAAGGGGGAGTGAGGACTCTAGAGCAAAAATAATTTCCTATTTTAGTAACTTTTGAGTATATCTTAATCATACTCAAGAATTCAGAACTAGGCTAGGGAAGGCTTTCTTCTTGCCTGGCCCTCTCAAATCCAAGGTTTGGTGGGTTTGGGCTTCTTGATACAGATAGAGAAAACATCTCCCTCACTGGCAAACTAATTAATTAAACTGATGCTCTCCTTGTAGGTTTGAGTCTGGTGAAGCCTACTGTTGCCTTTGCAACATGTCAAGTGACACCTGGAAAAAACCAAGCCCCCAACAACCCTTTAGAATACTACACTAATTAGAATATTATAATTTCTAGTTTATTTAACCAGAAAATAATGTTAATTTGTCTTTTGCAAGTAGCAGCCATATGGCAATGGAAGACAACAGACTAGGAATTCTTAGCAAAGCTGGGCCATTAACTTCTTGTCTGAACTTGGGCAAGTTATTTAACCAGTTGAGTCTTAGGTTCCTTGTTTCTTAAATGGGACATGAATGTCTGCTGTACCTATCTTACCAGTTGTCAAGCAAATGAAAAATAATTCAACAGATGTTTATTTAATGCTTACTATGTTGTAAGGCATAGGAGCTTACAATCTAATAATAGATGTGGAAATGCTTTGAAAAATAGAAAAAGTGTAATACAGGTATAAGGTGGTAGTTTCATTGCTGATTATCATTACAAACAAAATTGCATTCTCTCTAATCGATGAACTGGTTTCTGATTGTTGTGCATTATCATTGGGTCCTTGAGTTTAGATTTTTCCAGTTCTTAGGCTTTTATTTTTCTGGTGCTCAGTCTATAGAGTATCATTTATAGCTTTAATTAACATACTAATTACTGTTGTTTTCAAAGGCTCATGAAGATGCTCGATAAGACCTAAATTTATCTCCATTATTGCAGTTTCTCACTGAATACTTTTTCTCAATGACACGTGGCTATCTATCATTATCAGTAGTTGTCATCCTTAAAATGACATATGTGACCATCTTTCAGTCAAATCAATAAGTTAATTTTGCAAGTTAAGGTTTTGTGAAATGCTGTAAAGATATTTCTTTTATTCACTAACTTGATTCATTAGAGAAAAGACACAATTCTGTTTATTATCTACATTTTGTTTTCCTGATTACAGTATTTTTCTTTAAATAGCTGTTGTAAAACTCATCTAAGAATCTGGATTATACTTACCAGATGGTTTCCTGGATCATATTTCTTACTTTTCAAAGGTTTGGTATCATATTTTCTCAATAGTCTGGTACCTCTCAGTTGTCCATGGCTTTTCAAACGAAATTCTATATGATCCAGTCTGTGTTGAAGTATTTACCTTAACACCCTGGCATGCCTGACCTGCTGAGGGATATATACTTAAATTGTCCAAATATTAGGACAACTGCATTTTATCACTCTTCGTTTTTGCAAAGTCTTAACTACTTTCCAATTTCTTAAACTTGTTTACTTAATTTTTTTCATGTTATCATATTAGAGTCAGTGTCACCACTAATTTAGAGTAAAGATCTCCATGCCTCAGCCCCTACTGCACTTCCCCCTCCCCCACCCGTTACACACACAGGCAGGCTTTTCATCTGCTTCTTTAGCTCTATAGGCTTTTTAGCCAGCTGCCCTTAATCTCATTTTCCAGGTCCCAGACTGGTCCTGGATACTTTAATATTCACGATTTAGATATACGAACAAGGTTTTGGTTGTACAAAGTACCAGGAAAAACAATTCAAGATGAATGATATTCTCATCCCAAATCTTAAAGGCAGCCCGGGGGGTTCAAGTTTAAACAGTGGTAGCTTTGGGTAGAAAGTGGGGTTAGCAGCCATTTGGGTGCAGAACAGCTCTGGGAAGTCTAGATTTGTTTTGGACTAGAGTTGATAGGATTATAGAATTTTAGAGCAGAAAGCGTCCTTAGAGACCATCTATCTAGTCCAGTCTTCTTATTTTACAGATGAGGAAACTAAGCCCCAGAGAATTTAAGGGATTTGCTCAAGATAATATAGGTAGCAGAAATGGGATTTGAAAACAGATCTGACTCCCAATCCTTTCCATGATACAAAACTTTGTCCAGAAGAACCCCATGTTATGGGATGTGGGGGTATGTGGGAAGGGGTGTCCATGAGTTTTCAAACATAACTGTAACTTATAGGCTCATCCTATATATCAGAATGATTCTACATCTTAAGTAGCTTCAGAACTGGATGGCTTTGTTTGAACAGATCTTATTGATTGCCAAGGGAATCTAGTTAACATATAGCTTTGAGTTCTCACATTCTGATACTCTAATAAATCTGTGATTTTATTGGAGCAGATAAACCTTCCACCAATGCATATTTATAACCAATATACACCATCTCTTATCAATTCTTGTCTATATATTTCCATAAATCCTCTGTAGAAGATCCACTCAACATACTGAAAGCCTTCTGTTTCTTTTAATATCTACAAAAACAAACCTACCATTTTGGCAATCCACTGTTGTGGAGACTGTGTCTCTCATTCTTGCTACATGACTGGCCTATAACCTTTTCTAGTCATACATATTCTTCTTATTACCTTTTATATCATTACATGTACATTTCATTGGTAACCTGCTATATAGCCTGATTACAATCACAGTTCATCTTTCTGTCATCTTATGGGTTTACTTGTACTTTTTATTCTGAGGTTGTGATACTCCATAATTCACAGCCATGTGTCATCATTGCGGGAGTGATGTTAAAGAGATGGGCTTTTGTGGCAGAAAGCAATTTCTTATCTTTGAAAGTACAGCTCAGTTTCCCAAATGTGACCCAGTCTGATTTGAGCATATGTTACTGTCAGTGTCCTTCATCAACTAAAAAAATGTATTTCTGATTCAAAAAGCTGGTCTTACAAAAATTAGATAGAAAAAAATCACAGTAAGTAAATAGATATGAACATATCAAGATCAGGTAAAAATAATTCGTAAACACGTAATTTACTGAATATTTCTTCTTTAGGCTTATTATCTGCATTGAAGATAATTCTCTTCATTTCTATCTTCTGTGCCTTGGCCACTGGACTCAGATGTCTCCAGAGGAGAAAATAAGGCTGGTGACTTTGCACAGCCCTCCCTCACTTAAATCCAGTCCACCAGCAAATCATGACATCACCCTCCTGATGTCATGGTCCTTTTTGAGAATGAAGAACAAACAACATCTTCTGTGCCTATATGCATGATCTGTGTATTTCCTTTTGAAGGTCTTGGTGGATCTTTGGGCCTTGCCTGGTTGTTTTATGTTACTGTGTCACATATTCCTTCTTCCAGACCATAAGGAGGGTAGAGGGGTGTGTATGTATGCTGTAGTCAGGGGTTGATGGAGAGAGCATTGCCATGGAGAGAGGTCCATTTACTGGATTACTAACTCTTCTACCCTCCAACTTGCTGGTCAAATACTAACAGAGGGAAGTGAGAAAACAAAGAATGTTGGGAATCATTAAATAATTTAAAAACTCAAGATGTATCTAAAAGAGTCCTGTTATATCTGATGGGAAGAAGTTATTTAATCAAAATCACTCATGTTTCCAAATCACCCATATGCTAAAACATCACTACCCTATTTGCAATTATCATCTCCAGGTCCTGCAGACTGGAAATGTGATACCTAGTAATGTATTTATTTTTAAAAAAACATGCCATTATGACAAGTCATTTTGAGAGCCTCATGAAGTTTGTTTTATTCCTTGTACAGAGATAGTACAGTATAATGAAAATATCAATGCATGTGGATTAGGAAGATGTGGGTTTGAACCTAAGCTCTGCCACATAATAGCTGTGGGACCTTAGGCAAGGAACTTTACCTCTGTGTACCTCAATTTCCTCTTGTAAAATGAGAATACCTAGCTTATAGAGTGATTACAAAGATCAAATAAAATAATGCATGTAAATTTCTTTGCAAACTACAATACAATTATATAATCTATTATCATAGTTATTACTGTAGAGTTCATGCTGAACAAGGGATGCAGACTCATAGAATATTAGAGCTATAGTGAACATAAAAGATCCTTTAGCCCAGCTCTCTCATATTGCAGAGGAAGAAACAGGTCCAGAGAACTGAAATCACCTACTTGAGGTCATAAAGTTAGAATTGAATTGAACAAGTTCAATAGACACATTGCTTGTACCCCAGAAGTACTCTTTCAGTAGCGTGAGGTTGAAGACTTTTGAAATTGTATTCCTTTACTTTCTGTTCCTCTCTGGGCATAGTAATCTTCTTCCCACTTAATAAGGAAACAGCTTGAATAGTAGAAACAATTTTGGAACAAGAGTCAGAAGATTTTAATTCTAGTCCTGGTTCTGCCACTGACTTGCTTTGTGACCACAGGCAAGTAATTATTCCTCTCTAAGCCTTAGTTACCTCATTTGTAAAATTAGGTTGGATTAAAGGGTCTCCCAAATCTCTTTCTTCACTAGATCCTATAATTCTATGTTTTTTCCTCCTATTTTGAGTGATACAGACTTCTCCTTCTTTCTACGGCACTAGATGGCACTCTTGTCCTATGCAAAAAGATACGAAGAGCCAGTGATATCACACTGAAGTGAGAATATGGTTTAAACACCACAAGGCTCTAAGATGGGGACTGTACTTGGCCTTGCCTATAAATGAGCCACGATATCAATCAAAACCCTGAGACGTTCTTCCATGTTGTTGACTTGGCAAAGAATAGATCTGGAGTTCTGCCTAATATTAAGAAAATGTGTGAATATGCTGTGAAAAATCCTGCTGGAGGGATTGTGGGTTTCCCATTCCTTGTTTGTGCAGTTAGGAATGGGGAGCAATGGCCCTGCTGCAGGTGTGGGGTGTTGGCTGGACTCCCTAGTGCCTCAGCCAGCTCCAATTCTCCCAAGCACCGAAAGAAGCCTGGGTGTGCACCTGTTTGCACTTTAGTGGCCTCTTGAAGCCAGAGCTGCCCCCTTGAGTCCCCCATCATTGAGCTAGTAAGTTGGTATGTGCAGCTGCCCAGAGTTCTTTCAGGTCACCAGCAGGTTAAAGCAGGAGGTGGGAAACAGATCAGGTTTGTGGACAGAAGGGGCTTCATTCTCTTTTCCTTAGGGATGATCTGTGCATCTGGTGTAGGTTAAGGAGAGGAAGTTATTTTTAGAATTTGGGTGAGTGCAAGAGCTACCATAATAGGGAGACCATGACAGACAGTATTGATTCTGGGATGGCCTCCATGTAATGGCACCCATACTGGACTGGATAGTCTACAAGTAACCTTTCTGGGGTACTTCAGCTTGTGTGAGGTTACATTGTAGCTCTGCACGAAGTTTAATAGGGGTTCTGGTGTTTTTCTCTGGATGTTACAAGTCTTTCCTACACTGTGGAATTTACTGAAACAGAGAAAGAAGAGAGAAACTGGAAGATATAGAAGAGAAGGATAGAAAGATTTATCCCTTTCCCCCCCCCCACACACACACTCTCTCTCTCTCTCTCCCTCTCTCTCTCCCTCTCTCTCTCAACTTTTCTGAAACTTCTGATTGGGAGTCTTTAAAGAAACTAAGTCCACCCATTATAAACTTCCTTATCCTAGTTTTCCCCATCCCATTCTATCCTCAGAGGTTCCCAAGCTGATGGTATTTTAGATTTAGCTTTTGCAGTACCATCCAGAAAAAATAAGGGAATCTCTTTTATAAAACTGATGGTAGGGTCATGATTAAATCTCATATTACAGGCATAATTCATCGAATCAGGCTTGTGTCATATAACAACAGAATGTTAAGAGGTCTTGGAAAGAATCTTGAAGATCTAGCTCAATCTCTCCAGATAAGGAAACTGAATTTGAAGACCAAGGTCATAGAACTAGTAAGTGGTAGAACTGGGATTCCAATGAAGGCTTTGCTCCTTCAGTCCAGTACCCTCTTTACTATATCACAGTTCCCTCTTTTAGTTGCACTTAGACTCAATTTCCTCATCTATAAAATGGAGTTTTCCCACGTTTGGGAAAGATGTCCTACACACTTCATGGGGTTATAAGGAAAGTTCTTTGTAAGCCTCACAGTGCTGGGATTTCATTTCAGTATTTTGTAGTGAAGACTGAAGAGTCTTAGAAAGAGGTTCATAGATCATTCACTTAGAGCTGGAAGGTATTGTAGAGGTTGTTTTGTCTAGTCCAGAGGTGAGGAACCTCTGGCCTCGAGGCCACATGTGGTCCTCTAGGTCCTCAGGTGCAGCCCTTTGACTGAATCCAAACTTCACAGAACACATCAGAATTTGCACCTGAGGACCTAGAGGGCCACATGTGGCCTCGAGGTGCAGGTTTCCCCCCACTAAGCTAGTCCAATATCTTTATTTTACTGATGAGGAAGTTGAGCTCCAGAAGGGTAAAGTGATTTGCCCAAAGTCACAAGGGCAGTAAGAAGCAGAGGTGCCTCCCCCTCCAAGGGAATGCTGTAATTGATCTGTATGAGTTGTGTCCTGCATATACTTCTCCATGAGCACATCTCCTCCATTAAGCTCCTTCAAAGGAGAGACTGTTCTACTTTTGTCTTTGTGTCCTTAGTGCTTAGCATGGTTCTTAGCACACAGTAGGAACTTAATAAATATTTGTTGATTAATTTCAATGGAAAAATGTGCAATGGCTTACAAATAAACTTCTAGAAAACAGTCTTTGAAACCCTGATTTACGCAAGTATCTTGCCATTTCCCTGCTACATCCATCTTCTCATCTGGAACAGGGGTCTCTACGCTGGACTGCCAGAAGCTATGCTCCTCTTTCCTGGAGGAGTTGAACCACTACGCTTTTGGAAATCTACCCTGGGGCTGAGCTCTCCATATTAGTGAATGAGTGAGTATAAACTCTCCTAATTCTCTGTGGGTAGCTAGTCTTAGACTGTGTATCCCCTTCTAATCACTCATTCCCCAGGAATGGCAGGCAAGTACTCTCCTCACTCCCTTTCCGATTCTTGCTCTGAGAACTACAGTCAGATTAATACTACCATCTACCATTGTTCCTCAAAAAGGTGTGATAACTCACTATCCTCTGGCTACCTTCATGGTCCCCTGGACTCCTTAGATCGAAACTCCTTTCCCTGGCAACAGCTCTTTTATATGTGTTGTCTTCCTTTATCAGAATTTGAACTCCTCTATCTTGTTTTGGCATTTAATACTCCTAGGGCCCAGTACGATGCCTAGCCTTTAGCAGACACTTAATGCTTATTAATTTATTCAAAGTAAGTAGGTTATTAAGACTATCAAACCTACCCTATTATTAGCGTTTTTTTTCTGAAGAATGAGTAAAAGTCAATATTGCCTATCATTTCTTTCATTCAACTATGAAGAACAAGAATGGTTCTTTAAGTATGAAGAACAAAGAATTATATGGAAAGTCATGGGTGTTGGGTGTGGACAGAGTTCTGGGCTTAGAATAAGAGGACTTGGCAGGTGGCCAGGCTTCCCTGCTTACTGTATGAACCTGGCCAAGTCATAGAACCTCTCTAAAAAGTTCAGTTCTTACAAAGCAATGTATTGATCCAAACCTTAATTATTTTTATGACATCTACATGATTTCTAAACTTAAATCTGACAAGGTGTGAGGATCAGAGGTAGAGCACAAGCAAAGAAAGTGAGGCACAGAAAGTAGAAAAAACTGAGTCTCTCTTTAGTTCTTTTCTCCTATTTGCTAAGTCAATCCTAGGCTAGGGGAATAGTTTATGTCCAAACAAGAGATCACAGAAGATAAAATGGACAATTTTGATTATATAAAATTAAAAAGTTTTTATAAAAAAATCAGTGCAGCTAAAATCAGAAGGAAAGCAAATTTCTCTGATAAAGGTCTCAAATCCAAGATGTATTAGGACCTGATTCAATTTATAAGAATGACAGCCATTCTCCAGTTAAGAACGGATCAAACAATATAATAATAGCCAGCATTTTTATAGCACTTTATGGCTTACAAAGTGCTTTACAAATATTATCTCATTTGACCCTGACAAGTCTGGGAGGTAGGTGCCATTATTTTATAGATGAGGAAATTGAGGCAGACAGAGCTCAAGTGACTTACCCAGGGTCACTTTGCTTATAAGTATGATACAAACAAAGTTTACGAGGAATAAATCCAACCTATCAATAGGTGTGTTGGAGAAATGCAAATGAAAGCAATTCTGAAGTTCTACCTCATTCCCATTAGATTAAGTTGACAAAAAAGAAAAATGACAAATATTGAAGGGGGTGCAGGAAAACAGACCCATTAATATACTGTTGCTGAAGCTGTGAACTGGTCCAGCCATTCTTTTTGTTTTGTTTTGCTTTTTGGCAATTGGGGGAAGTGACTTGCCCAGAGTCACCCAGCTAGTAAGTGTCAAGTGTTTGGTCTGAGGCCGGATTTGAACTCAGGTCCTCCTGACTTCAAGGCTGGTGCTCTATCCGCTGTGCCACCTAGCTACTCCCCAGCTGTTCTTCAGAGCCCCAAAAGTTACTAAACTGTGCATACCTTTGGACCCAGTGATATTATAGCTAGGCTTATATATTTGAATGAGGTCAAAGAAAGAGGAAAGGACTGATATGTCCAAACATTTATAACAGTTATTTTTGTAGAGGCAAAGAATGCCTGGATAGATTATGGTATATAAATGTAATAGAATACTATTGTGCTTTAAGAAATGACAAAGGGGAAAGTTGCAGAAAGACTTGAGAAGACTTGAATGAAATGATGCAGAGTGAAATGAGCAGGACCAGGAGAATGATTTATATAATAACAACAGCTTTGTAAAAACAAACAACTTTGAAAGACTTAAGAACTCCGATCAGTGCAGTGACCAATCATATTGAAGCATGCTACCCACTTCCTGTCAGAGTTGGTAGATTCAGATTGCTGAATAAGATATTTTTTTGGACATGACCAAAGAGAGAAATTGTTTTGCTTGACTATATGTTTATATTATAAGGGGATGTACATATACGGGGGGATGTTGGAGGAAGAGAAAATAGATTTTTATTAATTGGAAAAAAATAAGTAAACAGATAAAGTTAATCTGTTCTCTACTTCTGCCTGGTGAGTGTAGAGATTAGACCATAACCCCAGTGGGCCGGTGCTACTAGGATTACTGGAAAGAAAGCTGAGCAGAAGAAATAAAACATCAAGTTGCTTACTATTTGGCAGGCACTGTGTTAAGCACTGGGTATAAAAACACACCACGTTAGGCCCTGAAGGACATTTACTGACCATGATCTGTGACTAGGAAAATAGAGTACAAATTAGAATATAATAAGTGTGTATAGTAAAAGTTTTATGAGATGAAGTAAGTCAGACCTCATTTCCATCTGGGGGAATCTAGGAAAGTTCATGGAAGAGGGGGCATTTGCACTGGGCCTCAGGATGTTGGTCAATATGTGGTTGGGAGAGGTAGGCAGGTATTCCAGGTATAGAGAATAGTATCAGCAAAGTACTGAGGCCCGAGAGTATGTGGGACCTCTTTGAGGGATGACAATTATATATTACTATGTGAGAATACTATGAGATAAGGCATTGGTTGGAGTCAGGTTGTGGAGGGCTCTGAATGACAAATAGTTTGTCTTTATTCAGTTTTGGGACTTTATTCAGTTGGCAACTAGGAAGCTTCAAAGATTTTTGAGCAGCAGACTAATAGGTTCAAGCTACATGTTATGGCAATTAACCGTGTAACAGTATATAGGATGGACTGAAAGTGATGGAGAGTGAAGGCTTCTGTGGTCTGTTTTGTGGATCACCACAGCCAAGAGAAGTTGGCAAAATGGTAGTTAACAAAGTATATATAATTCCTAACAGTGGGTGATCAATGCAGTCTGGAGAGTTCAACCTCTCTCCCTCTCCCTTTCTCTCCCTCTAACATTACCCAGGAGAAGGGAACTAACTGGCTTTAAGTTATTTTTGTAGCCAAAGAAATTTGATTCAATTTGAATCAATTTAACAAATATTCATTAATTGCCTGCTCTGTTATAGGCAGAAATGTAAGTTCAGGGAACGTGAACGTGAAGGACTATTGGAACTCTCTCGATGAAGATTTCCAAGTCGTGGTACTCTCCATGGAGCAGGGAAGTATCATGAAATAAATTACTTACTGAGACCTAACCTCTCCTGGTTCTATCATCTTATTCAGAATGGGTTGGTTAGAAGTATAGTCCTGTTATAGTAAGTACACTGAATCACAGAATGTTGGAACTAAAAGGCAGCTGAGAGATCCTGTATGTTTGCCATTGTCCCCTACAGCTCAGCTCAAACAAGGAAGAACTGAAGCCCAAGCCCGGCTTCATGCTGTTGGTTTGCAGCCAGGAGGAAAGGCTGGTCTGTGGTTCAAAGAAGAAAACTCTAGCCAAAATGAGCATTCAGTCAGGAAGACCATAGTTACTCTGAGTGGGGTACAGGAAAATGTAGTCTGTTGTGAAGAGGTTTCTCAAACATTTTGTTTTAGGATGTCAGTCAATAAGCATTTATTAAGACTCGCCCTGTGCCAGAAAATGTGCAAGTGCCTATTATAATCCTTTAATCTGTCAAGCTGCACATTAATAATTTGGGAACTTAATTAGTGAAGGAGAACTTCTGGGGCGCTAAAGCTCTTTTTTTTTTCCTCTCATACAGTCGAACCAGCTCCTATTGTTTTACTTTAATGGACTTATCCCAGGCAAAATGGCTTCCTGCATGAATCCAGATTGAAATCTGGGAGAAATCAAAGACTTCAATCATCTGGGATGCTGTTCCAGGATTCTGGGGAGGGGACTGGAGAATCTATCTGAATTGGGTTTATGGGGAAGGGAAAAAAGCAACATCCCTTTTTCTTTTAGACCAGGAAAGTGATGGCTAAATTTCAATAAAAGAGGCCTTTATTTGATTCCTTTGGGACTCTCTTGACAGGGGCCCAAGTTTGGGATCTAAAAGTGAGACTTAGAGGGTTCAAAAGAAAAGCTATCTAGTTGATTGGGCACGAGGCAAATAGCCCTGCTCTCTCAAAAGCACTACATCATTTAGTTCTTTTTCTCCAAATCAAACACTGTTCTAGCCTGTTCTGCAATATGAACCAGGGAGATTGGTCCCTGGGTGTGTGCAGCTTTCTGTAAAACTGATTAAGAAGAACTTCCATAAACTTGTCCCTAGACACTCACTGGAGAAAAGCATCTGCATTGCCAACTATCTGTAATGTTTTTGTCGCTGGAAATAGGTTGAGTTTTCACAGAAAGTTCTATAGAGGTTTTAAAATCCCTCTTAAGTACTTACTATGCCTGCATCTCAGATAGCTGCTATGAACTGAACAGTATATCTGTTTAAGGCAGCAAGGGCAAAAACTGTTAAGCTCACCTCAGGTGTGGATATCTGAGGAAAGTATGTATGGCACTTCATAATATACTCAGCTATGTTTTTAATATAGAAAAATAAGTACATTTATTTAGAAAATAGTACATAATTGATTACTTCTATTTCTGTTTCTAAATGATAGTTAAAAGAAACACCACTCTCTGAAATTACAATTGGTATTTTCTCATTAACTCATCTGTTAGAAAAGTTGCTTCCCAAATATTTACTTGTCTTTCACTTCTTTTCTCCTAAAGCTTTCCTGTGACCCTTTTCCTATCTTCTGATATAGTCTTATAAGACTAAAACTCAGCTCCACTTTACAATATGAATGTTAATTACCTCCTTAACACAACACAGCAACTCTCTCTAAGCTCACAATACCCCAATTGGTTCTTCGTTCCTTTCCCCTCTATGCTGTCTTATCTGCTCTCTGCCAAACCTTTACCTCTTCTCTGTGCTGAGTGACTGTAATCTATTTTTAAAAGTGATTCAGTTAGTTCAGTAGTATCTCTCCCTAATGCTGCAACTCACAAAGGACTCTTCCCCTTTGGGGAAGGCCTTTGGCTTCCTAAAGGTCTAGAACTTTTTCCTTCTAATATTTTGAAATCATTAAATAAAATAAAACAAGTCTCTTCATATCTCTCAGAATGAACACTATCGCTACTGGGCTTTTAATCTGTCATATCAACCCAATCTGAAAAAGCCACCAGAGAAAATACTGTAATGTTTCACATTTCCCATTCTTTCTCAAACTTCATCAAGGAAGTTGTTCTGTAGTTGGAAAGTTGAATAATAAATCAGAAATGGTTCTGTGAAAGGGGCTAATGGCTTCTAAGTAATGAATGATAAGGAGGGATCAAAGAACTGTGCACTAAAAAGAAAGGCTGAAAGAAATTGAAGGAAGACAATAAATAGGGAGACATGGTAACTGTCTCTAAATATTTTAAAGGTTCTCAAATATTTAAGGGTATCCTATATTGGTCTGAATAGAAAAGGCAGATATTTCAAGGGGAAAGGATTCTGGCTCAACATTAGAAGAAATTTTTTTAACAGAGTCAACTAAGAGTAGAATGGACTACTTTGTTAGGAAGTAAGAGTCATGACACTGGAGGCAGTAGTCAGGGATGCTATAGAAGGTCCCATTAAAATCTAATTTTAAAAACATTACTTTGGTATAGGGAGCTCCGTTTGATGCTTCCCCCTGTGGCGATGCAAGTTAACACTGTTTTCTTCAATTTCTAGTTTTAGGGAAATGCTTATGGCACTAAGAGGTTCAATGCCCAAGGCTGGCACAAACAGTATATGTGAGAGGCAGGCTTTGAATCCAGTTCTTCCTAACTTTAAGGCTGGATCTCTGTGAACTAGATTATGTACTTCTAGAAATTTAATTTTTGTGATTTAAAAAGTCATTTTCCCCCTAAAAATATATCTTCTAATAACTGCAGTCTCTCTTTAGAATATAGTGGCTGGGTAAAGAATTTTAAGAAAAGAAAACAGGGAAAATGATCCCAGAAGACCAAAGCTTTAGGCAGCTAGTCTTGTGGATCAGTTTTCCATCTTTTCCTTATATTTATGACAGTTTATTTAGTGTATGTTGCTAGTGCACAAAGGGCCTCATTTTTCTATATCCAATCTTGTCAGAGCAAAATAAATGTTTATAATAGGGGGTGACCTCCCTTTTAGCTTCATGTCATTCTACTTTGCTTCATGCTCACTTTATGTTCCAGCCAAACCAAGCTAGTCACTCTTTCCTCAGCATGGATTCCCATCTCCTGTACATTCATGCAGGCTATCCACCATCCCTCACACTTGGACTTCCAGGACCACTGAGGTTTTACCTCCTACAAGAAGCCTTCCTTGAACTTCCCTCTTCCCCCAAGAGGATTTCTCTCTTCTCACATTTCTTTAAGCACTTTGTCTAGCACTCCCCTTTGCATGTAGCCCTCCATGTCATCCCCTCTAATAGACTGTAAGTTCCCTGAGAGAAGGAATTCAATCATTCTTTTCATCTTTGTATTCCCAGCTCCTGCAAGAATGCCTAGTACACAGTGACAGAATCTTAGAGTTAGAAGTAACTCTCAGAACCCTTAATGACATAGGCCTGAACAATAATCTTCTATCCATCTTGCCTGTGGAGGGGCTGCCCAGTCTTTGTCTGAAGGCCTCCAGTGAGGGGGAGCCTAGTATCTGCAGAGGCAGCCCATGCTGTGTTTGTGCTAAGCTCATGCTAAATTTGCCTTCTTGCATTTTCTACTTATTGTTTCTAGTGTTGCTCTCTGGGACTGAGAACAAGTCTCTTTTTTGCTTCTGGTACCATCCCTTCAGACACTTGAAGACGGCTGTTAACATCCCTCAAGCCTTCTCTCATCTAAACATTTCCAATTCCTTCAGCGTATACATACGACATAATCACTTCACCATTCCCATTGCTCCCTTCTGTGGCCTCTCCAGTTTATTAATGGCTTTCCTAAATAGTAGTGTCTAGATTTCAACACAGTATTCCTTGTTATCTGACAAGGCCAGTACAGCAAGACAACAGTCTCCCTAGGCTTGGACTATACTGTCTCCCTTCACAGACCCTAAAATTGCATTAGGTTTTTTTTTTTTTCGTTGCCAAATCATTGTCGATTCATGTTGTTTCAGTTCAATGAGATTCTCCTATCTTTCTGAGAGGTTCATCTGTCTGGACATGCCTTCCCCATCTTATATCTGTGAAGGTAAGGTTTTGAACCCATGTCAAACTTTACATGAACAGTGTTATGTAGGGGCCTTGGGGTCAGGAAGACCTGGGCTTGAATATTGTCTTGGACAAGGATTAGGAGACCGTGGGCAAATCACTCTCTGAATCCTGGCTTTCTCAGATGTAAAATGGAAACAACATCTGCAGTATAGATTTCACAGAGCTGTTATCATGCCCAAGTGAAATAATATATGTAAAGTATTCTATGAACTTTAAAATGCTTCATAAAAGTGAATTATTTATTTTTTATTAAATTTCACCTTATTAAATCCAGCCTACTCTTCTTTCTTGGTGAGAGATTTCTAGTTCTTGACTGTCATTCCCAACTTTGTATAATTTTTCAAATTTTATAAATATGCTAATACTCTTCTAAGTCACTGACAAAAATGTCAAACGGCATAGGACCAAGCAAAGACCTCCAGGACACTTCAGTGAAGACTTTTTTCCATGTTGAAATCAAACCAACAACTGCTTTTTTTGGTTTTAACCATTCAGCCAGTTCTGAATCCAAGTCTACATTATCCCACCCTTTCCATAAGAATGCATAAAATGATGAGAGAGAGAGAGAGAGAGAGAGAGAGAGAGAGAGAGAGACTGACTAAGACTTTGCTAAAATCTAGGCAATTAATATCTACAATACTTCCTTGGACTGCCTTCAAAAACCCTGCCAAAAACAGGGTTCTGTTTTTGAAAATGAAATTCATTTGCAAGATCTATTCTTGATAAAGCCATAAAGCTGGTTCTTTGTGATCATGGCATCTTTTTCAGAATGTTCACATTCTTTAATGATGTGTTCTAGAATTTTTCCAGGAAATGATGTCAAGCTCCCTTTCCTAAAGTTTATATTTGCCATTCTCTTCCCTTTTTTGGGGGGGGGGGATTTGGAAAACTGTAACATTGGTTCTTCTCCAACCTTGTGATACTTATCTCAGTCACCTCAATCTTTCAAAGATAAATGACAGTATATTAGTAATCATATCTGTCAATTCTTTCAGAACCTTGGGCTGTAGGGGAGCTAGGTGCTCTCTTATTACCTTCTTCCTTATCTTTCATATCAAGTTTCTATTAGTTATACCAAATAAGAATTTTGTATCTGTAGCTCTCTGTATATTTTTCTCTGGAAAGCTGTCACCATTCTTCTAGAGCAGACCTGCACAGCTTGGCAGTAGGTAGGAGCCAAAATTAAAATAGGCTAAACTTCTTTGGGCTGCAGATAGGTTTTTAGTGGCTCACTTTCCAAGTAAAGGTGTAATTAATGATTAAACTATTTTGCAAAAAAAAAAAAATTAAAATGGGAAATTTCAATTAATATCTATTAATTACACTTATTACTTAAATTTTCATTTATCATGAAATCACATTAATGTTAAAAAAATTACTTTGCTAAGCAGTACACATTTTAATACATTTTTTCATGTTTTTTTGCTGTTTACTTTTAATAACAACTGAAAATAGAGAAAAGACACGACTCTTGCTCTGCTCAGTCTAGAGACAGACTGATGATGGTTGGTTGTCTTTGGTTATGTG